TTACTTTCAAATTCCTACACTTGTATACCCAAATGAGTAGAATAGGCGCCATTATATGGCATATCCCTTTTTTGAAGTGGCCCCAGCTGCTTTAACCAGTGAGTATTACGGCGTTGCAATAAATAGGCCAAAATATACCGGTATCATTTCGGGTGATCAACTCGTAAAAACAAAACTAATCCTTACAAACCAACTATAGAAAATTAATCTGATGCTAGCTAGTGACTTGCTACAGGAAAGAGTTTCCTGGAGTTCTAGTCAGAAGTCGTGACCAGTGAGGTCCATCCAGTCAAGTGTGAGGATGGATGTCTCACCGACGACATTGGTTGGTGGTCGCGCTAAATCACGAATTGGTAGAAGTTAGAATTCATGGGCTGGCCATTGAATCGGGTCCCAGTGGCTGAATGGTATACGAGCTTGCCTTGTAACCGGAAGGTCCTGAGTTCGAACCCCAGTGGATGTGTACTGCCGATGATTCCCAAACTAGGATGAAACAGCTGTCCAGTACTCCGTGGTTTTCAATGGTTCTCTAACTGATATCAATCCGTGATCAACTCGTAAAAATCAATAATATAGGTTTAACTTTTGAACTCACTGTCTTCATTTAATCTACTACATTGAGCAGATATTAGTATCAAGCAACATTTTCTGATAAATGTGCAGCAAGTGTAACGCAGCTCAAGAATACAATGCCACCGATAATATGTACACCAGAAATAAATTTCTGAATGCAAAATCTCATCGAAAATGCTTATAAAAGATATAGTTTGTCATTAAAGCACCATAGCAACGGGATACAACGCTACAATTAGCGGGGATATGCAATACAGTTACTCGTAGAATACAAGACAAGCTGTCTAAGTTTCTGTTACAAATTTGTTTGAAAATTTATGCATCAAGATTTTGTGTTGGAAGACAATTTCACAGCAAAGAAGTAAGTGTTCAACGACGTGTTGAACAGTTATATGGAAGTCATTTCTGAGAAAAAAAATGTACAGAATAATTAACTCCAGATGGAGACTGATATAGAACTATTTTTCTGAATAAGAAACATGTTATCAAAATGAAGTGTCAATATTTACTACTTTTTGTTTTACCCCAGTCATGAGTATTTTCGTCTAATTAGTTGATGGAATACTGACCGACTGGTTTCAACGTAGAACTTTGCAGCAGTTCGAATTGCCACACTTCACTTAGCACACAAAGCAAGAGAAGAGAGTAAAAAGAGATTCAAAACAGAGATATCAGGCAGCCAGGAAGTAACAAACGCCGACACATTGAATCTTAAGGAAAATATCATTTACAAATTACATTAAAAGACAATTATAATCTTTATTCGATTTTAAAAATAGGCAATATTTTAAAAATACACTAATAGGGATTCTTCATGATACTTAATCACAAAATCCAGGAGGACTACACCAACAAAACCACATGCACACATAACCCGTTCGCAAAAGCTTTTCTATCTGAATCTGCAGTTCAATGGAGACTCATAGGCAAAAATACTAAGAAACTGTTTATCCCGTTCATTGGAGAAAACTGTCTTCGCAGCTGAACTTCGAATTTCCTCCTTCCTTCACAAAACCAATGATTCATATGAAGGATAAGTTACCACTGCTGACTTTAGCAATGTGTATTCATCGACACACTTGCTCCTATGAGCTAGATATGTCGGCCGTATTCAGGATTTTGTATAATCAAAATTTACCGTCACGACTTTACAAAGAAGGAAAACCAATCGCCCAGAAGCTCTATTCTAGAACACCTAGAGAGTCCACAAGCCAACTTCAGAGTACGCGGAAATCCTGCAAAAGAAGTACGAATCAAACTGTAGAAGCTATGGTAATTCACAAGTTGAATCCTGAACTCTGAATACGGATGTTCGTTCAGTCACTATACGTACAATGGGCCTAATTTGTCGTAACATTTGATACGTGATTTTTTTCTGAATCCTAGATTTCTAATTTAATTCTTTTTCTCCCTTTTCATTAATACATTTCTACTTCTTATAACACTGAACTTCACTTGACCCTCTTTCAATTTTAGTTGAGCTCTACTCAATGCTGTCAACTATATTACGTCACTCAATTTGCTTGTTGAATTCTATGTTAGTTTCTACCTGATTAAGGTTTTATATGTTTCGTAATTGTCATATAAAACCTACGATTTTAGTGACGCATCTTTAGAAACACTCTTTTTGATGCCAAGGAAATGTACTATATTAATATGCGACTGTACAGCTTGAGAGTGTGTCGGTGGCACAGCAGTTAGGACGCTCGCCGACCATGCACATGGTTCGGGGTTCAATCCCCGGCCGACGCACTCCTTTACCTCACTAAGCCAGCAATAAAACTGGTAAAGAGGAAAGTTTGGGCATGAGGCTAGCAACCCCATCCTGTAAAAATAATCACCACTGCTACAGAAACTTCAAGCCTTTAGCTTGAAGCCCTATGTTCCACTGGGAACGTGAAGGAATAAAAAAACAGCTTGAGAATGATGTATGTGAAAAGAGTAACTCTTCGCTGAACATCTCTTCTTTTAACAGAGATTCCCCCTCCCCACCCCAAAAAATATCTGAAGGCACATTTTTCCACCGACACTCTATGATTACGAATTCACAATGTTACGCAATAACTGACCATACGAAATAATATCTGTATGTATGTAACGATGACTGAGGATGAAATGAAAATACAAATTACAGGAGAATTTCAATCAGGTTTTCATTTCACCTTTCATCACCACTCGTTGCATCAATATCAGAACATTAATCTAAAAGTATCCTAGATACTATTCAACAACAATTTCTATAGTTGAAAGATTTGGTTAAATATCTTATCAGAAAATCTAACATTGGTCAATCAAATGCATTTCTTTGACATTACTTTTGTGCAGGAAATAAGTGAATGGTGAGGTACCTTGCCTATTTAATCATTCTTTAGTTCATGTTGTGTTAGACAATGCCACCATAGAGGTAGTCACAAACTAGTGTGATTTTATCAAGCACCCGCTGAAAACTTCCATTCAGATGAAGAGAAAAAGTGTCATCAAAGTACATTTTGTCAAGAAAGAAGTTGTCGATGGTTGGTTAGAATGAACCATTTTTCCAAACTTGCCATGAAAATACCTGCAAGTAGCGGGCCTAAAGGTGAACCCATGGCCACACCATCTTACTGTCTAAAAATTAGTACCAGTGAATGTGAACTGAACGTTCAAAGTGCATCTAAGTAGAAGTTCTTTTAACTTGGGTGTAGGTATTCCGATATTCAAGTTGTTGTCTTCCAATTACTTGCATAAGAAACAAATCGTCTCCGTAATCGGGACATTTGTGAAGAGAAATTCGACATTGAGTGATATCATGCGGTTGTCACCCATTTTCACATCTTTGATACAGTCAACGAAGTCAGACGTGTCACGAAGAGAGTATTTTGAAATTTTTTCTCTAACAAGCACCATATCTAGAAGCAATGTCAAGGCTGGTTGTACCTTACAAATATGAAACAGCAGAAGGCAGACTCCACCTACTAAATGCACGTATATGATTACATTTGAGACATGTGCTACTGACAAGATTTATCAGTAGTACATAGACGCAAATTGATAAGAAGTAACCAAAATATTAAAAAAAAAACTACATTATAAGTCAGTGGCTACAGAAGTAGAATTATTTCTCCCCCCCCCCGAAATATGGATTTAGCTCCCGTTGTGGTCAGGAAAATCAATGACCAATCAGAACAGTTTATTATCCGTTGACCTAACCAATCATAAATGTCGCTAAAAATGTATAAATACGGTATGTTTTTCCTCAATGAAAAATAGTCCGTTACCAAGTCTCATGTTTTCTTCTCCCGTTACACACATCTAGGGATGCCAACAACTCTTTCCAATTAAACCAATGATAAGTGAAATAGCCCCTCTATATTATATATTACATTTCATAAGAAAAATGCGTGTATATTGATTGATAATATAAATATATTGTGTAAACGTTTTTACTTACTATACATACATGTGTTGTATAATATGTGCAGTAATTTACTTTCAAAGAACAAAACAAAACAAAAAATAAACAAATTAAAGAGAGATATGCAAAGGACTAATAAAACAAGGGGGTTATTTTTGGCGGTCAGAGTAGTGACAAGGACAGCATACAAGAGGGGAAAGGGAACATGAGGAGGACAATTGGCCACACACACACAAAAAAACAAAACAAAAAACAAATGTACAAAATATTAATTGATAACAATGAACAAACCAACTCATAAAAAGAAAGAAGAAAAATAAAACATAGGGGTCGGAGTGATACTATATTATTCATACTTGTGCAATATATATGTATACGAGTAAGTAAATACACAGAAAAAGAATAAAAAGTCTGCTGTGCATTTCAACTGTCTACTCTTTTCTTCATAAGCAATAGGTATTAAAATAACAAGGACTGAATGGGCAAGCGATAAAATAAATAGAATGAGAATGAAAATAAAACGAAAACGAAAACAAACAGTAAAATAAAACAAAACAAAATTAAAGAGTGCGCCCTATTAAACATGAGAGTAATTACAACAGCAGAGAGTCGAAGGGAAGAAAGGGTGAAAATAAACTACATTTACTCAGAGATTACACAGACGCATTGATAACTCTGAAACTAGTAGGAAAGATAAACACACTATTAGTTAGTGTGAGCGGTACGTACATACACAACGCATCATTAAAACGAAAACAAAAAATAGGCTCACAATTACAACAGGATTGCAACATGAGACAGTAGAGAAATAAATAACAATATAAGTAGTATATGTAGATAAATATATATATAATACACAACTGAAACAAAGAAAAAGAAAGACAATGGATTCAACGAAGACAAAAAGAAAACAGGCGAGGAAAGGACAATTGAGCTTTTATTTCAAAATGAATTACTATGTGGTAAGGATAAGCCATGGTAGCAGTAGTACTACTAATACTACTACTAGTGTAGTTGTGGTAGTAGTATAATAATGTATACAAGATGTAGTAAAGTACAATGATCGCATACACAATTAGAAGATTACTGAAACATTTTTGAGTATGAGTGATGATAGTATCTAGAAAAGAAAAAACAAACGAACAATTAGTCATGATCATACAAAGTATAAAATTTATGTTTTTTAAATTTATTTATTACAATATTAAACCAATAACTGATAAAAAAACACACGATTGGCAAATAAACACCAAGCATAGAAGGAACAGATATTCCTGAAAGGATTTTCTAAAAAAATATTATCTTTTCCCATTCAAGAGCATTTAAGTCCTGCAAAAGATATTTGGAGGTACGACATAATTTATCTGTGGGCTATTTACAATATAGACAAACTCAAACAAAACAGAAGATTTGTAGCTCAGGTGGATGGTTTAGATTTAGTTGTGTTCTTCGAGCTGGTTGATTCAATTGTGAGGAGTTTTCGTTGTCCTCCTAGACAACTTCTCAAGCACAGGTTTTAGTATGAAATCAACTTATTTGAATTCTCAGAGTGGACATCCCCTTCGAATTCGAATCGAAAAACATAAATTAGTTGTCAAAAGACACAATATGTATTCTTTTATATCGTTTCATGTAAACACCAATTTGATTGGGAGAATGTGGAAATTTTAAATAGAGGAAACACCGAAAATACCAGGGAATTTCTAGAAGCCTGGTGCTCGAATGAATTAGCAATTATTTATTTTATTGTTATTATTTTATTCCTTTACGTACCCGGTGGAACATAAGGCTTCAAGCTAGAGGCTTGAAGTTTCGGTAGCAGTGGTATTTATTTCTACGGGTTGGATTGCTAGCTTTATGCCGACCCTCCCTATCTACCAGTTTTATCGCTGGCTTAGCGAGGTAAAGGAGTGCGTCGGCCGGGGATCAAACTCCGAACCGCCTGTGGCGTGGTTGGCGATATTGAATTATGACCAGGATGGTGTAACCCCGCCGATTAGTGTCTTCAGAATGCAAAGAATCATTAGTTAGTGGTTGTTGGCTGATTAGTTTTGACACAGAACTTTGTACAGAAGTGCAGCAGTTCGAGTAGCCCCACACTCCATGAAGCATACAAAGGAAGACAAAAGACAGGAAAAAGACTCAAAAGAACGATAATAAGCAAAAATGTGAGGCAGAAGAAATAGTAACATAGAAAAACAATAGGGCTTTATTGGATATATCAGATCACAAAAGGTGAATGCACTTGCGCCATTGAGAACGATTTCGAGTCATATCACCAAAAGTCTCCAGGTATTAGTTCGTAGCATCCTGAGGACCCTGATCAGGGGTCAACGATTTCATGGATTGATGTCAAGTTTTGGCTTGACCCCCACTAACTTTTTTCCAACCTAATTCCATGTCAGGTGACATTGCCTGTCGAAGGAGGCGATAGCTAGGCATGTGCGACACGTGTCTTAGCTATCTCAAACGACTCAACCATAACCTCATTGATTAATTTAACCCTCCTTATCTAGCACTCCACACCTAACCTCAACCTTACTCACCAAATTATATCAATTAACACGGGAGACAAAATGTAAACATCTGTCATCACTTCAGATGACAACTCACAGTAAGCACTTAACCTGACTGCGTAAGTACGAGTACAGTTAAAAGTCAACCTGAATGAAGAATATCCTTTCTGATAAATTCTCTTCAGGTTCTTACAATTATAAAATATAATATTTGTTATCGTTACAATAATGGCCAATTATGCGGTGGATACATTTTTACGTAGAATAAAAGATAAGTCATAATAAATAGTGACAAACGTGTCGAGCTGGATTCAATTACAAAATATAGTGAAATGAGAGCCCATGGTGGTGATTAGTCATAATAAAATGATACAATGTGGGGAAGGAAAATTGACAAGTCAGATCAAGGTTATAAAAGGTATCAGGTGAGTAGCTAGTAAAAAGTAGTGTGAATTAAAAAGGAGGTAATAAGACTGTAGTGAAAAGTTCATCATGAAACAAACCATATATGAAAACAAACAGATGGAGGCATACTTAGAATATTCTTCGTTTAGATAGACTTTTAATTCATGATAAGGGGATATTTCACATTATTAAATATTACGAGTAGAGTGCTTTGATAAGTGCAATATACTTTCTCATCACTCTCATCACGAAGAAACATTGTCACAGCACCTCTCAGTCAACAGTGTCGAATTCTATCTTCAGGTCAAGAAATATGACAAGTCTTGACTATGTTCCAGGATATGTCAAAGGGTGTAGATATGATCAACACATCCTCTTCCTGGCCTAAAGCCTACCTGGTTTACTCGAGTTTGTTTCTCCCGAGCACCACTTAGTCTTCGCATGAATATTGAACCTAGGACTTCAGATAGCATATTAGTCAAGCTAATCCCTCTATGATTGTCACAGGAAGACTTGTCTCCCTTCTTGTACGCTGAGATAAGCAATGATTTACACCAGTCTCTGATTCCCAGACATTGCTTAATACCTAAGTTAACCCACACAGCAATTTGTCACCACAGTCGTTAAACACCTCTGGAGCCATTCCATCAGGGCCTGCTGCTTGCCTCCTTTCGTTTCAGATTAGCGTCAGCCTATTTAACCTCATTTACAGGCGGAGGACCGGTGTCAACATTCTATTCAGGGAGGTGTTGAATGCTGAGCAAGTTGTGTGTGGCTGTAAACAAGTTAAATTGCTCCTCAAAAATGCCAAGCTTCCTCAGGATGAGTCTTGCTGTCAATTTCAGATATACGTTTAGCTATTTCTTCCTTAAATAGGAACTCATTGTCTTGATCAATTTGGGGGGTATAACTGCTGTCTGTTTTTTATTTCCGTTCAATCTTAGGCACAAGTGTGCACGGAGCAGGGCGTGATCGGTGTCTACGCACATGTTCCAGAACGAATGGCAGTCTTCTATTGACCCTCATCAATGATGGCTTGTTGCTTGTGATGTGATGGCAACCGCCAGGTTAGGCAATGTCTCCGTGTTTGAAATTAGTGCTGACCAGGAACAGATAATGATCTGGACAGAACAGTAGATGATTACCTTTGTCGGTTTGTCGACAAGGAACTCCGTAGGTGCCACTAATATACTTCTCAGATTGATACAACTCCCTTACTCGGGTATTGAAGTCGCCTGCTAAAACGACTACATCTGAGCGTTTTGCTGTTTGCAGCAAACTAGGCAGCCTTTGGTAGAACTCATTCTTTATTTCTTCCGAACTGTAGTAGTTTGGGGTGTAGGCGGAGATTATGGAAAGACATCGACGGGCAACGCAGTCCTTCCTTCTTATAGATCCGTTCAAACAGACAGCACACATACGACTATCCACTGAGGTCCAGTCGAATAGGGATTTTCCTGACCTAGCACTGAATGTTATCCTTACAACTGAGAGTCCTCGCGAAATTGCCGAAGAATCTCCTGACACCCATAAGGTGAATTTCGCAGATTCACTCTGCTGGTAAGGTGGGGTTGAGTGTAAAGCCACACTCGCGTTTTGTATACGTGTATCCGAAACACAACATACATCTATGGCCCTAGAAGCCAGAGTTCTGGTTAGTGATGCCTGTTTTACGATTTAGTGAAGAGACCTAACGTTAAATGTTCTAATATGAAGTTGGCAGTTTGGCTTTAAGAGACTATCTGTAGTGTTTTTCCAGCTCTCATCGCTATTATTGGCCACAGAGTAAGAAGATGGGGGACTTGTCTGTGGAATAGTATTAAAAGTAGGAGGAAAGGAGTATGGTGGTGACGTAGATAAAGGTGCGTGATGATCAGGAGGGCTTCGTGTCCTTTTGGAAGTGTGTGGGCGGTTTTTACTTCCCGGCTGCCCACACCGTGGAAGTTGATGTTTTCTTGGGGCAACTGAAACAGACCGCAGAGCCCAGTCACAACCCAATAACACACAAAAAGAGTTTCATATAACATTATTCAACAGAGCTAGGACTCATTGCAGCACTCTTACCCCTTTTTGTGTGTTATTGGGTTGTTGCTATTGGAGTATATGACCTATGTGGGACTGAAACAACGTCCAAATATTGGGCAGAGGAAACACCAAGAACGCCAGAGAATTTTTACAAGCCTGGTATTCTAGTGAAGCGTCAATTAACAAGCACATTAACAACATAGATAAAATTTACCAATCCATGAGAGGAAAATCTTATGCACAAAAATTAAACTTCAGGTCAAGGGAACAATCAATACAAATACAAGTAGACTACATGGTGTGAAAACAGACGAAAGCAACCAATCACGTCCAAGGCCCCCAGGAGAAAAGACTAATAAACTCGTGGAGAAATTTAAGAGCTCACCTCAAATTGAAGTATGCGCTGAGAGCTTCTCAAGTAAACCATACGGCTTAGAGAACACAACTATGTCAAAATCATCCACCTGAACTACAGAGTATACAATCTAGTATACTAAACTTAACATATCTGCAAAATAATGTGCACGTATTACCACTACTATATATATATATATATATATATATTGGAAAATAGGTTGTTTTAAATATCTAAAAATATAGGTATAACAAGAAAATTGATGCATAAATAATAGAACAAATTACAACTTAGAGTATAGAACTTACTTTCTCAGCCTATATGATCATCAAATAGAGTAGTTGTGTTTGTTGTTGTTGTTGTTGATAATGATGACATCATTGGTGCCGATGTCACCAATATCGACGAGGATGATGAAGATAAAGATGAGGGTGTTGTGCTCGGAGTAACTAATTGTACATCAGAAGCGACTGATTCAAATGTAAGTGTATTATTGCTGCCATACGTATTATCATTAGTTAGGTTAGGATAATAAACGTCAGTTAAAGGGGTTGTTGAAATAATACTGTTACACTTATCATTATTACTGGTACATGTAACAATAGTATTTGCATTAGTAGTATCTACATTAGAAATATAAATATCAGTATTTTCACTATTATTATTATTACTACTACTATTTGATATGGAAGTATTTCTGCTAACATTGATTTCGTATTTGAAATCAGTTACAGAAAGGAAATCAGACGATTGTTCTTTCACTATGGAAACGTTTGAATTAGATGAACATAATGTTGAAGTTGGTGATGATGATTTGGTTGAGTTTGTCGTAAAGTAACCAGATATATCAGAAACTACGAGATTGGAAGGATTGAACAGATCTAATGTTATTGGAGTGGTTGTTGTTGTTGATGATGATGTTGTATCCATCTTTTGTGGAGTAAATGAATTTGAAAAATTAACTAGATCATCTTTTGTATTCAATACTGAAGTAGAAATTAATATATTAGAAGATTGTTGTCTAGAAGAAAACGGCTGAATAGATCCACAATTGACGAAACTGTCAGTCGATGTAGTTATTTCCGCATTACTATTACTAATAATGATACTATTGTTAGCATTATTATCAATAACAGTAGACGTGGTGGTAGTCATATTATTATTATTACTAGCAGTAATGGTAGTATCACAGTCGATATCGGAACTATGAACTGTAACGTCAACTTGACCTTTGATAAAGGTCTTGACTACATCCAATGAAGTGACATCTGCTGGTGGTGTCTGTGATGATGGTTTTGATAAAGTTTGTTGAATATTAGTTAATATATGTCTTGATGATGTATCAAGCAATTCAGAAGGATGTAATGGATTATTGGTGAGTATAGTACTTCTAGGCGATCGAATTGATAGACCAGGTGTTGAAACCGATAATCCTAAAACTGTTTTACTCAGTATATCAGTGTTATTACTACTACTACTGCTATTACCACTATTAGCGTTATTATTATTATTATTACTGCTACTAAGTGCACTAGCTGCTGCAGCAGTTGCACTCGCTACAGCATTCGCATCAGCTGCAGCTATACGTGCATTCAAGTTGACAGAAGCATTAACAGGTAAGGATGAAACAGATACACTTGATATTTGACTTCGGTAACTATTGGATTTTGGTATTATAAAAGTAGGTACTGAACCGATAGCATCATCTGTATCACCAATAGGCAATGGGTTCATTAAATCGCCAACTCCTGATTCTGCTGCTACAATCATTGCTGTTAACGGTGTTACTGGACGATGTATAATTGTTTGTCTCATATCTTGACTGGGTATTGAAGACAAAAATGTGTCAGAAACAGGATTAACACCAGTTAAAAGTAAACCGCTAGAACGATTACTTCCAATAATATGTCGTTTACTAGTGTTGTTGTTATCAAGACCAGATATATAGGCGGTGACAGATGACTTTGGCGGAAGCATGCTAGTGTTACTACTATTATTACTACTACTTGAAAGCAATGGATTGGTTACTACACACGCATCCATTGTACAAACTGATATAATTAAGTCTGATATTGATTTAGATGAGGCACTATGAGAGAGACCAGTAATTCCTGACTCTGACTGAATGTTAACAAACTCTTGACGTGACTGTTGAGGTTGTGATGATATCCGAGTAGTTGGTGAAACTGTTGACGACAATGCATAAGATGATAATGACGAAGTTGTAACAGGTAAATTTGTTGTAGGGATTTGATCTAACGTATTATTGGATCTTGATAGAAGATAACTTAGGTTTGTATCTGCTTTAGTGATCGTTGGAACAACAGACACAAGACGAGAAATTGTACTACTGATAACTGGTTGGCATGGTGTTTCAGATGAAGTTATTTGTGGATGATTTAAAAATGATTGTGTATCATTTGAGGACTTATAAGTGGAAACAAGCGAATAAGGATGAGTAGGATGAGAATCCTCGGTATTATTACGATTATTATTATTATTGCTAGACAAGAGAGATTTAACTTCAGCAGGCACAGATGATTGGGAAAGCTTAGAAACAGCCGACACACTGACAGTCTGATAGGATGAAGGAACATTTAACTGTTGATTGGAATTATTTAAATTAATAGGGGAAGACAAGTGAACTTCACGAGTAGCTGTTGAAGTATCTAATTGACCATGAGGAATATTTCCATCAACTAACGACACAGATGATGTTTGCGGTGAAACTATAGCATTATGAATACTGTGAACAGAAGAAGTATTTCCAAATCTCAATGATGTAGGCGGAGGTATCACAGTAATTGGTGGATTAATGCTGCCGGTAGTGTTATTATTATTGTTATTACTGTTAGACAATGCAGCTGCAGCCGCGGCAACAGCAGCTTTAAGACCATTACGTAATGCGTTCACATATTGAATTTGGTATGCATCAAAGTCTAACTCTTGACGTAATGTTCCACTGAGTATAAACTCTTCATGATGAACAGCTGAAATTACAAAAGTGAAAAATAAGTCAAAAGAAGTTTTAATTTAAAAAAATCAAACCTATTCAATTTATAGATTTCAGGCTATCCATCTTATGAATTCCCTAGAGCAATTTCAGAGTGAAGTTTTACTCAATCATTGTGAAAGTGCTTATAATAATTCTAGTGTTTAGGCAAATCAGAGCAAGATTTTTCTGAACGCTTCACAGTGTCTAATTTTGTAAATATATTACGGGATTATTTTAAATAATTTTATAATACTATATTAACTGTCTGAATCGCACATAATTACATTTACCTAAAATTCAGTTTTGTAGAGCAAAAGACACCTAACAATATGAGGAAACTCAGTCTGCTTCACAGTGAAACACCCTGTGTAAGATTTCAACAGCCATAATACTGACTACTATTCTAACAGCATAACATCATAATTAAGAAATGTACAGTTTCGGTATCCATCATAGGTTACAACAGGTAGGTGGATGCTTTAAGCGAAAATTTCAATGCCTAGCAAGGCAATCAAAGCTACAATGATATCTAAGAACACACATGATACTGTTTCATCTACGCTACACACACACACACACATAAATCATGAGACAGTATGTCACTAAAATGGAAAGACATATAAATACACCACCACCACCTGACTAAACGAGTTTCAGTGTAGTGCAGTGATCCAAGTTGTCACATTTCATAAGTACACGAAGTGTCAAAGAAAAAAACAAACAACATTTTCTGCGAAATTACGAATTCTAAAAATTAAAAGTTCAAAACAAATTTCCAACAACTTCATGAATAGTATACGTTATTAAAGTTAGAATGCTTAGCTTTTTAGATGACAAGTGAGAAAAATCTCAAATCTGAACAAAGCAATGATATTCAAAATAGTAATGAATAAATAACATGACGTAATCAAAACAGACAGAAATCATAAACAAGAAGGGTTGAACGACGTCAATGCCAATCAAATAGTGTATACACAGTAGATTAATGGATTAATTGCTGAGCCACTGTGATTTGATTATCTTCAGCTTCCTTTTCCTGATCTAACTTGTTTTCACACAAGATGGCTGCTTAATTCAGACAACAACAAGTCACAAGGATATTTAGTGTTTTCATCACCTTCTTGGTTAATAACACTGTGCCCACCTACTACTAGACACTTCGGACAGTAGTTTTGTAACGACAGAAGGCAAGAGTCAGGCAACAGATCATTTATTAAGGAAGTCAACGCATATTTATATATTTTCATGTACATTACTATGGATATTTAAGTAAACAAACACAGTCTTCCGATTGGTTGTTTCTCACGTAAAGTTGATCTTTCATCTATTTGTGACTGTTTCTTGACTGTCAAATCCTCTATATGTTAACTGCATCCGCCTACGCAAAGTCTGCTGTGGTCGGTTTTGAATCAATCTTTGTTCACATTTTCTCACGACAAATCTTGGGAACGTAAATATTGACGTAAATTACTGTCTACCAATTTGGCTAGTAGACAGCTCTCACCACAGTTTCACACATCACTAGAACGGTGCGTCGGTGGCATAGCGGTTAGGACGCTTGCCAAACATGCACATGGTCCGGGGTTCGGTCCTCGGCCGACGTACTCCTTTACCTCACTAAGCCAGAAATAGTGCTGGTGAAGAGGAAAGGTTGGGCATGAGGCTAGCAACCCCATCCTGTAAAAATAAACACTGCTACAGAATATTCAAGCCACTAGCTTGAAGCCCTATGTTCCACTGGGGAGCGTGAAGGAAAAAAAATCACTAGAACGATGCTTTCAAACATAAAAATGATCAAATACTTCTCTAGATTGATTGTTCGCCTTCAACGAATATGTCTACTACTCGTATAAGAGGAAAGAATGCCACCACTAGGGAATATAAGATAAAAAATTACTTAAGAATTTAATAGGAAATCATCTATTTCGAATTAATTGGCCTACAATAAAAAAACACACATCCATGACGTATATGCACAATCGCGTGTTAGAAATCTACACAACTTGCTTCAGCCTGAGAAACAGCCATACAAACACTAAATGTGTCTTCAATCTCATCATGAATACGCCTGTAAGGAGTTGCATAGATGAACAGGAACACCTTAAAATCTTTGACACTTTTTAATAGATGAATTTTCGACTAATTCTAAAAACACTCCTTGTTTGATATGGAACATAGTGGTAAGTGAATCACTGGTATGTTTTTTTTGAAAGCCTACGTTCTAGCAGAATATCTATCATTAATATGCATGTAAAGTGATATCTCTGTCACAATAAGCACTATTCAGAATTGTATGGTGGAGGTATGCAGATGACAAATTCACTGTACTTAGAACACAGGACATCAACAGATTTTCCCAACACATCAACTCGAAGGTGGAGGCAATTCAATTCACTTATGAATTGGAAAGTCAGGTTAAGGGAGCTTACAATGTTAGATTGTAGCGTAAAAAGGAAAGAAGATGGGAAGTTAAACACTAGTGTTTACAGAAAACTCACACATTCAAACCGATGTTTTTTGGATTTCGGATCATCCCACCCTATGTCAGTAGAAGTAAGATTGGTGAAATGTTTAAGTGATAGGGCACAAAAACTAAGTAATACCAGGGAAAATCTAAGATAAGAAATGAGGCATATAAGAGAAGCTTTGAAACTTAATAATTACCTGGACAAATTAATCAGGAAGTTTGTAGGAAAATGTGAAAACAAAATCAATAATAATGGTGGTGGTATTGATAATAATAATAATAATAATAATAACGACATGCATGCCGAGCATGCACAGAATAATGACAACACCAACAATAGGGAATTTCAATCATCAGTAATACTTCCATACAAGGAAGAAACCTCGGAAACCTTACCCAGAATTCTTAACAGTACATGAATAAAAGTGGCATTCAAACCTACGAACTCAACTAGAAATAGGCTTTGTCGGTTAAAGGATCCTGTGGAGCCAATTAAACAAAACAGTATAGTTTATCTAATACCTGTCTGCAATGATTGTCAGGTCAAATTAGTAGAACGGGATCAGTCAGACTATCGGAGCATAAAAACCTAGCAAAATCTAGATTAGTGGAACCCGAAAGGGAAGCGGCGAGTGGGACGTCCAAGGGTGACATGGAGGAGATCGTGTGAAGAAGATATGATGAAAGAGATTTTTTTATTACACCTTGATTCCACACCGTATTTTTTGGTACAGGTATGGAATTTTCAGCATGTGATATCGGTAGCCCAAATTTTTCAGGCCGACCATAGATATTAGGTGTGAGTGAAGAAGAGTTGAAACAGTATGGACTAACATGGATGCAAGTGAAAAGTACAGCAGAAGACAGAAGCAAGTGGAAACGTGCAGTTGAAGCCCTATGTTCCACTAGGAACCCAAGAGAACAATAATAATAATAATAATATACTACCAAAGTGCCCAAGTTTTACACATAAATTATTCAAAATAGATAGACATATCTCACCTTTATTGCCTGTCTTAGTGCGCATCAGATAATTGGCTACATGACTATCGTCTTCATGACAGATAATCAATTGTTTCGGTTGTGCTAACAAAGCCATTTTTTGTGTTGGCCTTCTTTGACGAACTATACCATGACCTGCTCTAATCAACGCCATACACATTTCCCGATGACATGCACCAGGAGAAAACCAAAATTCTAAGCCAGCGAATAGACCAGCCTCTGGTCCAATCATTTGACGTTTACGCGCTATACTTATTGACTTCTTTAGATCAATGCCCAGTTGAGCTTCAGAATCTGGATCTGATAGTATCCAAGGTTTTTCATCTAAAATAAATAACGAAAACAAATGGGAAAAATTATTTGCTATTACAGGATTAGAAAGTAAGAAATATGACTCAGTTCTAAGCCTAAAGATTTATGAGATAAACAATGAAATGACTTTGTAGGGTGTCTTTTCGTTAAATTTGTCGAGTTCCTGAGGTATAATTCTGAATCATACACAGTATTCTAAACGTTGTTCAACCAGTGAATACTACTGTCCATCCTATAGCAACTCTACAAACAACGAACATAATTGTAATGTGCCATGGTGATAATATAGTCAAAATTTCTAATGAAGTGTCTAATTGTTGTCCGGCATTTGAGAACGAAATAATTCAAGAATGAACACATTTGCATACTGTAAAGCTTGATAAAGAATAAGATGCTTCACAATTAATTTAAAGATATTCTTTAAGAGAACAGTTCAAACTAAAATCCGCGGTGTACAAACATAACAATAGTAGAGCAACACAATTATTTTATGATAAATAGAATAAAAGACTATAAAAGATCCATAGAGTGTAAATAGTGAAAAACCCGAAAACACAATTATAATAATAATATTATTATTGTTTCCTTTAATTCCTAGAGGAACATAGGGCTTCAGCCATGCGTCTCCATTGCGTTCGGTCCTCTGCTAGAGTTTTCACCTGGCTCCATGTCTGCCCACACGCTTTCATCTCCTCTTCACACGACCTCCTCCGAATCACCCTTGGACGACCGACTCGCCACTTCCCTTTTGGGTTCCACTCGAGCAATGGCTTGTCTAGTGATGTCACTTGATGGTCTCCTCAGAGTATGGCCAATCCAACTCCATTTCTTCCTGCCTGTTTGTTTCACAATCGGTTCCTGCTGGGTTGGTTCGCTCATTGCCAGAGATCCCTGTTCTGATCTTTTCTGACCAGCCATCTGATCTTGAGTATTGAGGGAAGACAACTGTTAATGAAGGTTTGTAGTTTGTTTGAGATGCTCTTTATGACGCGCAGTGCAAGTCTCTCATCCGTATAGTAGCACTGACTGACTTCACATTGGAGTTGAAAATCCGGATCTTATTTTTGATGCTGAGTGTTGTTGACCTCCACACAGACTTGAGAGTAGTGAAAGCTTGTCTTGCTTTTCTGATCGATTCTTGCTTTGATATCCTCGTCAGTAGTGTCCGCCTGTAGTTGAAACGATGCTTCCCAGGTAGGTAAAAGAGGTTGTTTCTTTCAGAGTTTTAGAGTAGGATAATAACTTCGATTCATTAACTTGTGAACAGAATTGTCCAGAAAGGTTTGTGAGTAAGTTAACGAGTTTTTAAACTACTGCGAATTAACACATTATCTTCCTCTAGAAGAATACAAATAACAATGTATCATTTAAATATCTATCTACTCAATATACCCTTATTCAATAATTTCCCTTACATATTTATCACAATTAACATATTCAAACTTTGGTTTAATTTCGTCAAGAAAAGCTTCATCACAAATGTATTCTGTTATCATAGCTAATAAATAGGTAATTGAATGCAACTCAAGTCATTAATTTAAAAGTCCAGTAGTCACAAATATCTGACTGCAAGGAGGTTAAAAAAAAGTTAATGCAATAAATTGATAACAGTAGGGAAAATACCTATGAAAAAGATGACTATCATAACAAAGTGACTAATAGTAAATAATAACAATAATAGTTTGCTTTACTCCAAAACAGTACTAATGTTACAGTGTGGAATTCTCAGCATTTGGTACAATATTCCACTTAATTTTATCGAATAACATTAAAAACAATCATAAAGATATTACAGGATTGTTAATGGCAGTTCTTATTTGGTATATATATATATATATATATATATATATATATAAAATAGTAGCTAAGATTGTCAGTTAATTGAGTTGGTGTCAACATAGATTACAAATAGGAGATAATAAAAGGGCCAATTATTTAGCCAACAACATAGTAATTCATAAGTTTCACGCTTTACATTGTCTCTATTGCATAGAATACTGGCCAAATATGGTATCGTTGAGTTCTTATGCTTGGTAGTACGAGCATATAGTCTTTTGTACTGACTTCTAGATGAGATACAAGGGGATAGTTGAGAATAGAGGGGGTGTTGAGGGTCAGACAATATAGATTTAGACCATTTCTCGCATGAGTTTAGGTGTTTGTCAACTATTGTAGTGACAAGCTGACTAAATTGCACACTACTTGCCCTACTGACAACCGTTAATACCATTCTCAAAATGAAATAATCCTTTTTCAGTAGCCAAGGAAAGACTAAGGGGGAGCAGTTAAGTACAACAGGTACGATACACGAGTTAACAAATTATAAAAGCAGAAGTTGAGTGATTCCAAATTGTTTTATTTTCTTAATGTAGTAGCTTAGACGGAACATTTTCTTGGAGATCGATTAAATATGGGATGACCAAGTAAGGTCAGAGGATAGAACTATACCAAGGTATTTTGTGTTAGACGTAGTTTCTATTACAGTCCCCTCTATGCTACAAGCATCATGTGTATTAGCCAGTAGTTTTAGACCACATTTATATCTAAAGGAGAAGTCAATAGTCTGGCATTTTGAGGGATTTAACGTAAGACCACTTAGCTTAGACCACTGACTGATGTCCGACAAAAAGCAATTAAGTTTACAACAGTTTGATTAGGACTTCACAGGAAGCGAGATGTTCAGATCATCAGCCTATTTGACGAAGTTGATTTCATTAGAAAGAGGTAATTCATGTAAAAAGAAAGAAAAAAGTGAAGGAGAGAGAACAACACCCTGAGAAACACCAGCTTCAGTAAACAAGGCAGAATAAGATTCACCCTTATATACAGTATACTGCATTGTATTTGAGAAATAAGAATGCAACCAGTTAACAGCCCAGGACTTAGTTTGCGTAAGAGAAAGTTGTGTTGTGTTTCACTTAAACAAGGCGGCTAGTTTTTAACCATAACGTTTAGGTTGGAACATAGTAACACACTTACTAGTATACAGGTAGCAAGTTCTAAACTGTCAAAAAAAATTTTTTCTTAAGTAAAAGAATAAATAAATAGTGCTTCGGTGGCATAGAGGTTAGGACGCTCGCCGACCATGCACATGGTCCGGGGTTCGATGCCCGACCGACGCACTCCTTTACCTCGCTGAGCCAGAAATAGTGCTGGTGAAGAGGAAAGGTTGGGCATGAGGCTAGCAACCCCATCCTGTAAAATAAACACTGCTACATAAACTTCAAGCCACTAGCTTGAAGCCCTATGTTCCACTGGGGAACGTGAAGGAAAAAAAATAAATATCTAGAAAATAAATAATAATAACATTTGAAAATCTCACCTAACCAATAACCACACATTACAGAAGCTTGAATCCATTTCGGTGTAACGACATAACATCCCAAAGCAACTGCCATATATGTTTTCGGTGTACGAATCAATCGATTAGCGACTAAATGTGTAGCTTCCTCTGCTGAATCAACAATTTTACAATCAGGCAGTTGTAAGCATAACTCTGTCAGTGTTAGTCTTGATTCTAAATCTATTGCAGTGAATGTAATTCTTATATCTGTACAAATAGGTGGCAGTAGTTTAGTTGTATCTTTTTCTGTAGATTCAATCTTTGAATCTGTATCACAACGAACAACACGATCACTAGCATCAGCATTCTTCAATGAAGACTCTTCAGAGATTGCATCATCGACAATATCTTCATCATCCATACGAATGAGTGATTCAGTGGTAGCGTCAGCATTTTCTTCAGTCTTACTGACAGGAATAATGTTATCACATTTATCATCGTTAACATCTCCTTTCCAGTTATCAACGGATGATTTATCATCTATTAAATTACTGCCTACATTAGAAGTAGAACTGTTAGAACAAATGTCCATACTGACAGTTGATGTAGAATCCACTGGATTTGTTTCTACTGCTCGTCGTTTACAGTCCATAGCGTTATCTATAGGACTAGTAGCTAAACGCTTACGAACAATATCTTCATTGGATTGATCTATTTGAATATTTGAATCACTACTAGTTGTCGCTGTCGTGTTGTTGTTGTCATTAATGTTGAAGTGATTTGATCTGATGGTATGTCAGTGACATCTTTACTTTGAATATTTTCATCATTCTCATCTGAAATAATCATCGGATCAGTAACAGTGACATTGACAGAACTAGAAGTAATATTCGTAGTACTGGTGGTGGTGGTGGTGACTACATCTTGTTGTTGAATTGATAAATTATCCTCTTTTGAAGTTGTTTGATCATTTGACTTATTTACTACTGTCCCAGTTATTTCATTATTCTTAACATCGTTAGATAAACTGTCAGATGATGATGATGATACAGTTGACATTATGATATCATCAGAAATATTCATTGTGCTGACAGTGTCATTATTATTATTATTACTATTGCTAATAGGAGTACTACTATCACATTTACTAGTGATGATAGTATTTTCAGTTTGATCATGACTTCGGTTATCATTTGATTCACAAAGTGTCTACAACAGAATAAAATAAAAAAACAACGAAAAAAACACCATAAGAATCTTAAACAATATCGAACACAAAACAACAGCATGATGAACAGACTTTCAATGTGTATTATTATACATTACAGACAGAAATTTAGGCCATACATAGTCTACGCAAATTACATATTTTTCATATCGCTTTTATCAGAACGAAAAGGGCACGGCTAATGATTAATTTAGACGATATTTTAAAGCTCTCTTTGGTATTAATCGAATTCTGTCTCAGTAAAAGTAACCGCTAAACTCAACTACACAAGGCACAATAGAGTTAGGTGTTTGTGAACAACATATGCGATTAAGTAGTGAGGTTTGAGCTATACATCACTAAACGATATTTGTGTCCTTCAAATAAAAATACTACTAGATGTTTAAGAGGGGTAAATGATGACAATGACATGATCATCATCCAACTAGACGTGTGACTCACCGGGGCTAGACATTCAGTTTTAAGCAGTAAGACAAGCTGTTTAATTCAATTTGGACTTTCCTGCTGATTGATTGAACCGAAGTGCTCAGCCTCTGTTGACATGTCGGCTCCTTGTGAGGATGCTTCGCCGATTTCTGACGATTTAAACTGAAGTAATTCAGTGGAAATACTACCACTCACTAACCTCGCCTAGTTTACTAGCCGGACCCAAGTCCGGGTAAGGAGGGTTGGGCGTTGGACTAGCAGCCCATACCACAAAACCATTCAAACTGCTACAGAAACTTCAACACAGCAAAAATATTTAAAAAAATACTTATTCTGCGCTGGAATCCGAGACACGAAGTGACTCGGGTTGGTAAAAGCCTTCGGAAAGTCGGGCAGCCGATGTGTCTTCTTTCGATGGAAGCAATAATGAGAATGGGGAAGTGGAATGAACGTACAATGTACGAGGATGGGAAGGGTGCCCAGATAGCCAAAGAAACGAGAACAAATGGTATAGAAGTGCTTGGAATCTGCGAGAGCAGATGGAATGGATATTGTCAGTAATCTACTCCGGTCTGGTCACCCAGACGACAACCACGAGCACACTGAGGCAGTGAGTGGCCATCATGATGTCACCAGTGGCAGCCAAAGCCCTAATACAGTGGGAACCAATCTTCTTCTCCAGGATCATGACAGAAAGATTCAACTCAAAAGGAAGGAAGGTTACAATCATCCAATGCTACACATAATGCTACAAACAACGCGGAACAAGAGAAGGAAGATTTACACAGACAACTACAAACGGTAATGGACACCATCCTATATGGTGACATCAAAATCCTTATGGGCGATATGAATGTAAGTCAAACTAGGAGCAGATGATGCAGGAAGAGAACTCATCATGGGTCGAGATGCTCGAAGAAATGAATGAGAACGAAGAATTATTCACAGACTTCTGCGCTTTCAATGATCTGGTGATCGGAGGCAGTGTATACAAACACAAGGATAAACACAAATCAACATGGATTTCACCTGACCGACATACCACAAACCAGACAGACTTCATCGCAATACTGCTCAAGGAAGTGGAGACGTAGCCAGTCTGCTGGACACAAAGTCGAGAAGGGGAGTAGATGTGGGCTCAGACCATCATTTAGTTCAAGGGATCTTCAAGGTGAAGCTGAAATCCCTCAAAACAACTGGAGACAGGCCACTGTAATTCAAGTTCAACATTCAGAAACTGAAGGACAAAACTACAAGGGATGCCTTCATTACAGATCAGAGCAAAGTCGGAGACACTACATGTTATCACCGAGGAAACTTGTGTGGAAGAACATTGGAACTCTCTGAAGGCGACATTCAAGGAAACGTGTACAACTGTTCTAGGAAGAAAGAAGAGGCAAGACAAGGAATGGCTGTCAACTTATACCTACCTGGAAGCTAATAGAAGAGAGGAGAATGGTGAAATAGAAGATGACTCAATGCAAAGATGGACAACAGAAGGAGAAGCTGAGTTCATTGTACAAGTTGCTGAATAAAGAAGTGAAGAAGAGTGTCAGGAAAGACCAGATAACCAGGTTTTTATCGAGGAAAAGATCAACGCAGGTGAAACCTATGAAAGATGTTCAAGGAAACCTACTTACCAAGGAAGAGAAACAAATAAAACAATGGGCTAATCACTTAAAAGAACTTTTGAATCGACCATCACCTGCAACTCGTCCAGAAATACCACCACCAGCAACAGCATGCACAGAACTGCCTGTCAGGGGACACCAATCCTCCAAAGAAAGCAGAAATCTTGAATGCGATCAAGTTACTGAAGGGTGGGAAGGCAGCAGCGCCAGATGGAATTCCCCCACTCCGAAGCACTGAAAACGAACCCAGGGACTTCGGCAGATGTTCTCACGCCATTATTGTAGGTTTGGAAGAAAGAAAAGGTCCCTAACGATGGGAAGAAAGCCTGACTACCTTGTCAAGCTACCAAAGAAGGGCGACTTAGGCCTGTGCAAGAATTGGCGTGGAATAATGCTCTTGTCCACGCCAAGTAAAATACTGAATCGCATCATCCTGGAGAGAATAAAGGATGCACTGGATACAGAACTCCGCCACCCACCGGAACAAGCTGGATTCAGGAAAGGCAAATCATGTGCTGATCAAATTGCAGCTCTACGCATCGTCATTACAGAACAAAGTATAGAATGCCGGCAGTCAAACATCTACCTCAATTTCATCGACTTCGAAAAGGCCTTCCTTCGACAGACAGTGTTTACCGAGAAGTAATTTGGGAATTGCTTGGACAATACGGCGTGCAGTGCCCGTCTTTATCAATCTCATCCAACACCTATATGACAAAGTCACGTGTCAGGTGATCCACAACGGAGACCTCAGCGAGGCGTACGAAGTGAATACAGGAGTAAGACAACGCTACCTGCCTCCTATCACCAATGATAATGTTAGTTGTGGTGGACTGGATTATGCGTCAGACTGTATCTGGTGAGTGAGAAGACAGGAATACGTTGGACCAATAAGAAGACTCTAGAAGATCTGGATTTCGCAGATAATTTATGTTTAATGTCACACAAACTCGAAGACTTACAGGAAAAAACCAACAAACTGGCAGAAGAGGGAGGCAGCGAAGACAGGATTCCAGGTGAATATAGAAAAGATGGGGGTGATGAAGATAACCACGCATCAACAGCAACAACTATGCAACCAGCACCAATCACCATCAAAGGGAGAGATTTGAAAGAGGTTACTTCCTTCACTTATCTAGGAAGCACAGTTCCAACCACAGGCGACAGAACGGCTGAAGATGTCAAAGCTGGCCAGAATAGGAAAGACAAGGTATACATTCATCAACCTGTAATCAGTTTGGAAATCTTCTGCACTGCACTCAGCATAAACAACAAGATTCGGGATTTCAACACAAATGTTAAGTCAGTCACTTCTTCCATATGGGTCAGAATATTGCACTGCATGTCACGAAAAGGATTTCCAACAGTTTACAGACTTTTATCAAGCAGCTGCCACCTTCGCTGGCTCCATAATGAAGATCCAATGGTCAGCCAGAAAGAATTAGTAACAAGAAACTCTGGCAACAAACCAACCAAGAGCCGACTGCTCAACAAATATGTAGGAGGAAATGGAGATGGATCAGGCAAATACTGAGAAGGCCGTCGAATGGCATCGCGCACACGCCCTCAAGTGGAATCTCAATGGGAAGCGACGAGTAGGTTGTCAGTGCGAGGGTGACAGGGCGATCTTGCGAAGAGGAGATGAGAGATTATGGGCGATCGTGGGCCTAGCTAAAGAGGACAGCACCAAACAGAACAAAGTGGATATGTGTTGTTGAAGCTCTATGTTCCATTCGGAACCCAAGGGAACAATAATAATGAGACTACCACTCACTGAGGAACGCAGGTACATCCAGATGACGAGTCCCAGATAGGACGAAACGCGCGTCCTAAATTCCATTGCTAGTCACCATCCAACAAAGTAATACATAACCTTTAAAGTCATTCTGCAGATTGAGGTTCAAGTTTATGCTGAAGATGATGTCTACGGAGGGAATGAAAGCTTCGCAATTGAGCCACTCAGATTAGAGAGCATAACCACATCAAAATCATCTACCTGAACTACAAATTTTACCTATTATTTCTACTTAGTATATATATATATGTTTATTAATATTTTAGTCAGTGGAGTCAAGTGACGATGTGTAATAGGTTTGGGTAATGCCATCAGATATTATACTATAGGGTGTTGCAAATTGTTAAGTGCGCAAAAATTATACAACATGACTATTATCATTATTTTTCGTATATGATCTTTTGCATCAAGCAGTTAATTCAAACAGTAGCAACGCTAAAAGTATGCATCATTGATAATGTACATAAATGACACTGAAATGAATTTGTAGACACACATAATGAAATTTGACTTACCGGTTGAACAGAATCCGAGTTTGTATTTGTTTGCAGTGTTACATTCTGAATCGTACTATCAACACCACTATTAACAGCTTTATTATATCATCACCAATATTTCCTAGATTTTGTACATTTTCAGAAATTGGTGGGGCTGATTGTGTTTGTAGTGTATTACATGATAAATCTGCATCGAAATTATCTATTGTTGAGGTGTTTTGTTGTATTTCCTGATGATGATGATAATGACTGTCAGAATTATTCTGATTGGTCAAGTCATGAAGTGAATGAATCTCTTTTTCAACTTCTTCACTTTTAAGACAATTGAGTTTTTCACCAAGATCACATGTACTCTCAGCATTATTTGATACATTTTGAACAGTAGAGTACACAGAATTATGACAATCCATTTTTATTGTCGATGTATCCTGTTCACTGGCTATAACATTGTGTGAACCATCAACTTCTACAGTAGTAATAGTAGTAGATTCAGTAGAAGAAGTGATAGGACATGAAGGATGACTTAATTCTTCATTATCATCGGTGTTGACTTTTGACTCATGACTAACTACTGAATAGGTAGTAACTCCTGAGTCGATATTATCATCGTCATCATCAACTGTTTCAACTGACATATTCGGAGTTACATTATCGTTGGTAGCAACAGTGGGTATTAAAGGAGCAGGAAGTGGAGGGTTGGATTCATTTTCTGGGATAGTATTTTGAGAATCACCACCACCACCACCACCAGTTGCAGATGTTTCAGCAGCTGCACTCTTTATAGCAGCTAATAATTCACGTTTTTGTTCAGCTTCTAAGAGAAGAGTTTCGTATCTAGGTCGACATGACATTGCAATTTTAATATCCTCTTCAGTCAACGCTGCTAACAAGCACCTAAAACAATTTTGAAGGGAAAATAAAGGTTAGCAGTAAACACATCATCATCATCTGTAACAAGTAACAAAGGATACAATACGAGAGGCTTTAGGCGATATATCTAAGAATTAAACTTATCTAAATCGTAGCTGAAAAGTAACATTTCATTAAATGCTTTGTCTTTTCATGTTTCATCACCTTTTAGCACTCTAAAACCTTCAACCCTACAAAGTGCGTTTCCGTGTCACGTAATGTACAGGTATAGAATGTGAGAAATGTAACTAAACAGTCATGTTATATCCTATGCTGATAACGACAGCTTGTCTGTCAATGAATATGATAACTTAGATTGAAACGAAAACCCGAGTCATGATGGTTGATTTGAATTTTGCCGTCAAACAGAATTTGGTTTCAACTTTACTTATTAGTCTAGTTAGTTAGACATTAAATACCCAGTACTGGGCTATAAGCCACACTTACTTTGGGGGGGGGGGGGCTAATGATACTACCCAGTTGCCTAGACTGAAGTAAGTAAAGCAGTACTTGAGTCCGAGACCCACAGTGGTTGAAAGTCGAGTGCTTAAGCCAGTAGTGAGCAACATCACCACAACAGGACGTCACTGTCAGGATGAGACGACAGACTATGTAAGCCTCTATACACCAATGAGGACATAGGAGACAGAAAGGGGGAACCCCTTATTCTTTTGTTATCTAGTCTCTATGTATCCAAAACACATAGAACGACGAGAAAATTACTATGAAAATGAAGGGTGACTACACTGAAGAATAATAATAAAATTTGCTGCATTTATTCAAGAGAACTTACTCGGACTTTTTAACCTTAGCAGGACTGTTGTTACTATTGTTTTCAAGTTCAAGTTTTCTTTTTCGCTCACGTTCTTCATTCGCAAAATCATGAGATAATTTAGTAGAACGCTGGTAGGTAGAAGAAAAAAGAAACCAACGAAAAAATGCTATGAAAGCGTATGTGGGCAATGTTCTTTACAAATAAACTAAAATGATCACCTGGAGGACTTATTTTTCAATATTTACTACGTCCTACTCCGAGTCATATTTCATGCCATATGCCTCAGCGACCACAGATTTATACTTCTCTATCTAGACACATTTTCTGTCAAACTTTTGAGTCGTCACTGTAATTAATTGTTCCATTTATTTGTTTGTTGTTTCACAATGCAACTGGCAATAAGTCATGCCTACTGTGTGAGCGCCCTAGTGATGCTAACTGGATGGCCAGACCTTGGTAGATGGAGCAGAGTCGGCAACACGCGACCCTCTGGTCGGAAGTCGAGTGCCTAGACCAATGAGCCATAGCTCAACTTGTTTTACAATAATGCACTGCAGAAACTTTCAGATTTGAAAACATAACTCTACGTAGATTTTATAGATCTCACAATAAACAAAAAAGGTTTTTATTGAAGTAATTTGTTCCAATTTACATTATAAGCTGCTATAAAAAATATTACAGACACATAACATTCTACATTAGTTGAAAAAAAACACATTTAGACGCCTAGTCACGAATACTTTGATATGAAATCTAATGAAACTCAAGTAATATTATTTCCTCATATTCAATAATGACTTCATTATTATTAATAACATGTGCATATGTATGTAAAAAGTTCCAGTTAATGATAACACATTAATGATAATACCTTAGTACACACACACACACAGGCCAACAATACAACTCAGTTATACTTTATTCAATAGGAAAGACACAATACTTACTATCCATACTTCTTGAGTTAGCCGAATCGGTGTCTGCCATCCAACTACAAGAAATTAAACAGGAAAAGTAGTAATAAATTCGATTATTAATGTAACTTAGCTGTATTGACATGAACAACAGAAAGACTAACTACATGAAGAATAGTTAAGATTTGATAGATCTAAGCAATCACAAAGAGTGAATGTATCTGAGATAATTAAAGACAGCTTTTGAGCTTTGTCACCAACAGTCGCCCCCCCCCCACTAATTCTTAGCGTTTCGAGGACTGTCTCCCAAATCCACAGTTGGACTTCATGGAATGGTGTCACATTTTGTTCTGACTACCACTAACTCTTTCCCAATTTAATTCTATGTCATGTAACATTGGTGGACGTGGCGGTGGTGGTGGTGGGCGATGGCTTAAATTAGCCATCTCGACCGACACAACTTCATTATCTCATCGACTGATTTCCCTCCTTACCGAACACTCTACGGGTAACCTCATTATGACTTTCCTAGTAAATTACGATGTCATTTTTTAGTCAATAACATACTAGTTAGAAAATAAATAATGAAGGATGAATAAGGTCGGATAGCCTCTTGTGGGGTAGCAATAGATTCGACCTATATCAGTGAGATTTAGGCACTGGAGGGAATCATGCTTTTAGATTTCCAACTTACACAGCGATGACCTCACCACCACTATCGAATAATGCCGTTAACAACAAGTCTAATGACGGTACATAACTAAATCCGTTTAAAGCAAGGTGGTTTTTAGGACTTTATCATTTTTACGCTAAGCTTGTTTTTGATTTTGCTTACATTTTTATTCGCCAAGCACTTTTCCCCAAGAGGCTAACAGTTCATGTTTCCTTTCAATACACATAAGAAGAAATTACGACATCTAATAGTGCAATTCCCGCTATTGTTATGTAATGTAGATAATAAATTAGAAATGAGTTCACTTTTTATAAGGCAATTTATCATAGTGCGTCGGTGGCACAGCGGTAGAATGTTCGCCAACCACACATATGGTTCGGGGTTCGATCTCCAGCCACCGACGCACTCCTTTACCTCGTTAAGCCAGTGATAAGACTGGTAGAGAGGGAAGGTTGGGCATGAAGCTAGCAACCCAATCCCGTAGAAATAAATACCACTGCTACCGAAACTTCAAGCCTCTAGCTTGAAGTCCTATGTTCCACTGGGAACGTAAAGGAATCAAAAATATGTATCATAGTAATCATCATACATAATAATAATAATATAACAAAAAAGGAACAGTAAAAAATAGTACGACAATACTTACCCATTAAATCTTGTACACGTGGAGTACATCGTTCCAATGACATTGTCACATCAGATGTTTCAAAGCATAAATATTTATGAGGCATTGCTAATGACAGTGTGTGTAAGTCACCGAAATAAAGATCTTGTAACCAGCGTATATTGATACATGGTATGCCCCAGAGTTGTGCCATTTCATATTTTTTACCTGAAGGTCTAAGAAATAATAAACACATAATTATTATTCAATGCTTAGAAAACTGCAACAAAATGATATTATCAACCAAAAAGAAAGATATACCCATTCTGACTAGTTGTGTATAATCTAGTCAGACACTGAGCTGTAAGCTAAACTAGTGTCAAGTGACTGTGAATAATTGTATTTAGATGAACAGCACATACATAAGTTTTTTTATTACAGCTTAATTCCACACAGTATTTTGGTACAACTATGGATTTTTCAGCACGTGATATCGGTAACCCGAATTTAGCTGGTCGACCATTGTGCGTCTGCCGGGGATCGAACCCCGGACCATGTGCATGATCGGCAAGCGTCCTAACCGCTGTGCCACCGACGCACAATTGCTTAACTCGAGGCCTTGCCGAGAACTGTGAAACACATTTTCTACATAAAATATATTTCTAGGCACTTATTTCAAAGTGTAACATTTTACAGCTGTATTTCATATATTCGATTGTAACTTCTTACTGATTAGTGTGTAATTCACTTTTACAGTAATTATTAGTTAAATAAGAGGTTATTAGCCTCCGTCTAGTAGAAATGGATGATTTTAGATTTGTAGGGAGTACAATCCATTTCCACGAATGGAGAGAAATTCAAAATCAATTCATCATGATCCACTGACTCCAGTGAGGCGACAAAAGATATCATCAATGCAGAAAAACTATCAGTGATCAAACTTGAAACTAATCCAATTCCTACAAACGAACACTTGAAAATTAATCTGATGCTCACTGGAGACTGATTACGCCACGAAGTTGTTTGGACTTTATGGCTGTGAGACCTGGCCATTGAGAGTGGAAGACATGAAGACAGGCTAGCTGTCTTCGATCATAAGTGCCTGCGTTCTATCTCCCGTGTGAAGTGGTATAATAAGGTGAGCAATATTGAGATAGGCGTCGAGTTCTAGTTAAGGAGGGGAAATCAATCGACGAGGCTGTGAAATTACATCGACTGAGATGGTTAGGACATGTGTTACGTATGCTTAGTCATCGATCGTCTTCCTCGCAAAGGCAATGTTAGCTGACATAGAGTCAGGTTGGAAAAGAGCCAGTGGTGGTCAAACCAAAACATGGTTCATCAGTCAATGAAATCCACAACAGTTAGTTTGAGCCACGTAGGAAGGTGTAGACTTCCTGACTAGTTGCGGTCCTCGGGACGGTAAACGCCAATGGCTGGAAACAATTGGTGATATGGCTTAAAATCGTTCTCAATGGCGCAGATGCATCCACTCTTTGTGACTTATGATTTCAAATGAAACTATATCATTCTTCGTTATTACTATTCCTTTTGTCTCATATTCCTGTCTACTGTCTCTATTTTGCATTTCTTCTACTTTCTTCTCTTGCTTTGTATGCTCTATGGAGTGTGGCGACTTGAACTGTTGCACATCGGTGCAAAGTTCTATGTCGAAAACAGACAGATAGAGAGGACTTTTAGTGAGAAGTCGTGACCGCTGAGGTCCAACACGTCAGTTGTGATGACAAATACTCACCGATGACATTGGCTGGTGATGGCGTTAAATTCCACGAAATGACAGAAGTTAGAATTTATCAGTCATCAGATTCAGTCCCAGTGGCTGAATGGTCGTCTATGAGCACGCCTCGTAACTTGAAGGTCCTGGAGTTCGATCTCCATTGGGGTCATAAGAGTCTACTGGTGAAGAGTCCCAGACTAGGACAAAATAGTTGTCCAGTACTCTCTGATTTCTAGCGGTTCTCTGACTGATATCAATCCATGATCAAAGCTCGATAAGCTTTTTAAATCATAAAAAGTGAATCAATCAGTCAATCAATCAACCACATACATTCTTCCCCAAGACAAAATATTAGCTAACCAGACTGACACACTAGTTACAGGATTTCATCATGAGCTGACATTGGTTAGAGAACCATTGGAAAACCTGCAGGTAGTACTGGACAGGTGTTTCGTCCTAGTTTGGGACTCTTCAACAGTAAGCACCCACCGGGGTTCGAACCCAGGACCTTCTGGTTACAAGGCGAGCTCGTATACCATTAAGCCACTGGGACCCGATCCAATGGCCCATGAATTCTCACTTCTGTAACCAGAAGGTCCTGGGTTCGAACTCTGGTGGGTGTGTACTGATGAAGAGTCCCAAACTAGGACGAAACACCTGTCCAGTACTCCCTGCAGGATTTTCAATGGTTCTCTAACCAATGTCAGCTCATGATGAAATCCTGTAACCAATCAACCAAGTCCCTACAAACCAATACTTGACACACTAGTGTCACGACCGTTCCTTTCACGCTGCTCATATGTTCATTGTAAAAATAGTGTATTCGTTAATTAAATGTAAAAGGACTGGGATAAATTTGGAACTTATTATCGGTGAATACTTAAGAAGTATGTACGTGGAACAGGGTAAAAAGCAACCCACAGGATGATCGTGAAAAGAAAATTACAAGAATGTAAAATTCTAAATAAAAACAACTTACTGTTTACAAACTAAGAGCGTATTCGATGGTTCAAGGTAATCGGTAAAAGTAGCGCCAATCTGACGTATGATCACTTCGATTTTCTGACGATCTTTACCCTCAAAGCCAGTCAATGATATAATCTGAAATGGAAACATTAGTTGGACTATGAAGTGAAATATTTGGGAGAAATTAGTTTGACATAAGTGTTACTATGCAGTAGTAGTCAGTCCTACATCATATTCGCATATCAAGCACAAGACGAAATTATCGTCTCCTATTCTGTGAAAGGGATGAAGTAATCCCAGGACACGCAGATCGAAGCTGATGTTTGTCTTAAGGGACTATTCTCCATAAGCTCTTTTACTTTGAGTCCGATTAACAAAGCAGCACAGCAAGATCAGGAGTTACATCCCTATGACTGACTAAAATATGTGTAGACACCACTTGTTTATTTCGGATTCTGAAATTTATGGACACCAATGGCTTGCAGTCAGACTTTTTCAACTCTCGAAGTGAACCTTTCATGTTTATCCAACCTTCGTAAAGGCGTTTTTAAACTTGCAGAAACACGCAGTACACATGTTTATGGGAACTCGAGTCTGAGATTCAACAGTTAGTACTCCAATCCTGGGGAGTCATAACTCCACTAAGTTCATATATCGACCAGCATTTAGCACTTCAGTGAATTTAATACATCCTCAGCAGACTAGTGAATACTTAGCTATTTGGTATAAGACTTCACCTTTGTCGCCTATGGGGTTCACGAAATACCTAATTTTCTGCAGACTGTATGTGTGTTTTAACAATGAGTTTAAAAAGGTAAGATATTTCCAAATACAGACACACTTTTCAACTTTCGATCAAATAGATTTGTTTAGAACACACATACACACAATTTAGATTAGATAAATTATCTATCATCCAGTGACTAAGATTCCAACAATAGCAACCATAATCACCGCCTGCCTATCTATAAATACTTTTTAAATAAGGTGTGAAAAAAAACATTCGAATAAACATTTTTTTTAAAACCCATAAACACATACGAAATCTAATTATACCTGAGAACGAATAAATGAAAATGTTATTTCTTTAGAAAATGGGGATGGTAGGTGTAGAATTTCAAATGGTGGAATCATTCTACCCTTTGCAAGGATATCATTGACCCAATAAATAGTAACTAAACGCTTTTGATCTAACAAGGCCTGTAAAAAAGAAGAGAAAAACGTAAGATTTCGATGAAACTGTTTATATATATATATATATATATATATATATATATATATATATTAAACATCTATACGAAAAAGGTGAACACATAAAGCCTAAATTTCAGATAGCATTGGATAAGAAAACGAAATATAAGTATAAAATGTAAAACAATTAATTCCCTTTATGAATTTGGACAAAGCCATAAGAAGACGTAATTTGTCTGAATCGTGTAATGTGTGTTTGCGCAACACATTTCGAACAATCTGATCACACACGGACTTATCATAGGAATATATAATATGAAAATAACAAGCAGTTAAGAGGTGAGAAAATAGACTTAGGTTAAGTTAGAAGGATATATTTTTTGATTCCTTTACGTTCCCAGTGGAACATAGGGCTTCAAGCTAGAGGCTTGAAGTTTCGGTAGCAGTGTTTATTTTACAGGATGGGGTTGCTAGTCTCATGCCCAACCTTTCCTCTTTGCCAGTCTTACTACTGGCTTAGCGAGGTAAAGGAGTGCGTCGGTGGCCGGAGATCGAACCCCGGACCACATGTGTGGTTGGCGAGCACTCTACCACTGTGCCACCGACGCACAAAACGATATATCGAAGGTCAAAATAACAATGAAAATCACTAAACCAAAGAAGGGAGGTAATAGTACATCTGCCCTGGTATGTATAAAAACAAAGTTTACCATGAAAGCTTTAGTGTGATGACGAATTGTATTTTGAAAGCATAAAGGTGGTTTAAACTTACTAGGGCTTTCACAAACTTTAGGATACGCCCTAAAGACGTTTTATAGGCTACTGTTTTATAGAAAGGTTTAAAAGATGTCTAAAGATCAATTTTATGTCCTGTCTCTATAATATGTTTCGCAGTAGAGGAGCTCGGTTTCCTGTTCTCACTACTAATGGGCTCTGGGGATTCTACTTGCTTATGAAACCATTTGGGGAATATAAAATGCAAACAACAATAAATATTCGGCAAATCCAGTTCACATGTCAAAATTTAAAAAGGAACAGTAAGCGAAATCGGTAATAACAATAGTGACAAATGAAATACGAAAAGGATAAATAGATAAAGAGAACAACTTAAATTCTTAACATAAATAAGATGTGAAATAAAAATAAGAATGTTCACTACTATTTAAAGCCTTTTAAACAAATATCATACTCAAAGTCCGTTATTGTACGCTATTTCTCATATACTACTAAAATACCTCTATTACATATAATTCCGTATCGATTCACCACAGTAAGGCATCCGACTAAGTCCCATAACCAGTATGTCTATTCCTGTTACACAACAATCATATGCATCACAACGTATTTGGCAATGAGCTACATGTATGATGTGAGAGTTAGTTATACTACCCGAGAATGTCCAGACCACAGTAGATAGACTGACTGGACTGTCAATGCAGAACTTTGCACAATAGTGCAGCATTTCAGTTAGCCATACTTTAAGGAAGTTTATACACAAACGTAGAGAAATGTAATGAAACTACGATGGACGAGAATGCACAGTAAAATATATAACTAAATGAAGATTAGTGAGAATTTTCAGAATCCGGAAGGTCACAAGGATTGAAGGCATCTGTGACAATTAGAATGACTTTGGGCCATGTTACCAGTCATAATTTTTCTTATTATTTCGAGAATCTCAAGCGAGACAGTATACATTCCCCTATGTAATTCATGGGTTGGTAAGTAGAATCAGACTCCGAAACCATAAGCAAGTGACTGAAATTCGGATGTCGAATTCAGTGAGCCACGCTACAGAGCCACTAACCAACAGACAGATAATATTTGTCAATATTTCGAGTCTTTACTGGTAAAGTAAACTATAATCACATAGAAACTAAGTCCATCTTTATAGAACGATATAATCTCCGAAATATGCAAAAATCCCAGTCATTTCAGTCAAAACAACTTAATAACTTTGTCGACTAAATAGAGGTTCACCGACATAAAATTGTGCAACTGCACTAATTATCAATTCAACAGTAACTCTACATTGAAGACATTATTCACTTAATCATTCTGTGATTTCATACCAATTACGTAAAACACCAAACTTGTTGGCGGCTTGCTTAAAATTTGGGCTACAGTAAAGTTCCATCAATACATTGCATATAATTTCAGATTGTTTAAATCTAGTAAAATATGACCTCTAATAGTATTGTTTACAGTGGGAAACGAGAAGATATCCTGGACCGACGTGAAGAACCTAGAAGACTTGGATTTCGCGGATGACTTATGTTTGATGTCACTTACAAGCGAAAACCGACAAACTGGTCGAAGAAGCAGCAAAGACAGGACTGCAGGTGAACACAGACAAAACGAAAGTTATGAAAATAACCAACCAACAACAACAATAGTAGCAACATCCAGCACTAATCACCATCAACGGGAGGGATTTGAAAGAGGTTACTTCATTCACTTATCTAGGGAGCATTGTCTCAACTACAGGAGGAACGGACGAGGATGTCAAATCGAGAATCGGGAAGGCGAGAAACACATTCATCAACCTGAAACCAATCTGGAAATCTTCGTCACTCCTCAGCATCAACAACGAAATTCGGATTTTCAATACAAACGTCAAGTCAGTCAGTTCTTCTATACGGATCAGAAACTTGGCGGCGGGTCACAAAGAATATTTCCAACAGCCTGTTGCAGACCTTTATCAACAACTGTCTTCGCTCTATACTGAAGATCAGATGGCCGGAAAGAACAAGAACCAACAAGAAACTATGGGAACAAACAAAACAAGAACCAATCGCTCGACAAATATGCAGGAGAAAGTGGATATGGATCGGACACTCGCTGAGGAGGCCGCTGGGTGACATCGCGCGTCAGGCCAATGCTCGAGTGGAACCCGAAAGGGAAGCGGCGAGTGGGACGTCCAAGGGTGACATGGAGGAGATTGTGTGAAGAGAAATTGAAACAGTATGGATTAACATGGACGCAGAAGACAGAGGCAAGTGAAGACGTTTAGTTGAAGCCCACTAGGAACCCAAGGGAATAACAACAACAATAGTACTGTTTACTCTGGTGAGTTTTTAAAACATTCACAACCTGCTGATTCTCAAGTTTCTATTAAAAATGTGAAAAAGCATTATCCTCGAAGGCAGGTTATACCATTCCTGAGTAGTGTCTTTGGTTCACAAATTGTACTCTTGAACTTTCTATGAATGGCAATCAACAGAATGTTATTTCTCGACGGAGAAAAAAGAGAGATATCATAATCGATTAGTATGCACTTCAGGTCAGACAGAACTGTGACAAACGATCTACTTTCAGTTAATATTTTATTCGAACATCCTGAACGAAGAGGAAATATCCACTGGAAATTCTGTACATTATATCAACAATGTTCAGAATAAAGCTATTATTATTGTTGTTGTTGAGCACAATAGGGCAACACTCCTACTAATTTAACTTTGCTTAAGTACAGCCGAGGGAATGCATTGATAATCTCAAAAGTCACTAAAGAATGCCTGTTTTCATACTGTATTAAATCTGATATTTCAAAGGGAATATCATACAAGTAAGTCATACAACTGATGTACTTTACTTAGTCACTAAACTAATCATTTTTAAAAACTAAAGTATTGATTTTAATAGGAAAGAGTATTAAAGTGACTCTGTTTGATTTAAATTTGCTCATACACTGCTTTATGGTTGTAAAAGTTATAAAACTTATAGTACAATGAGTTACTTCATCGTATCATAAAGTGAATGCGTTCCTACTTTAATAGCTCAAACTTATAAAACACGTGAAACTGAAAAGCTTGATACCACAAAGAAAGTCACCTTAGCATAAGCAGTAAATAATAAAAGCTCCTAATTAGGATATTTCACTACACTAAATTCCACTAAAATCCTGTAACCAATCTATCAAATCCCTACAAACCAATACTTGATTATATCAATGAGATGCTCACTAGCGACTAGCCCTATCCAGATAGGTAGTTACTTGGGGTTCTAGTGGGAAGTTGTGACCAGTAGGGTGCAGCAGGTCAGGTGTGAGAACAAATACTCGCCACCGATGACATTGGCTAGTGGTCACGCTATGTCGTAAAAATTGGCAGAAGTTGGAATTCATGGACTGGCCAGTGGATCGGGGGGTCCCAGTGGCCTAATGGTCTACAAGCTCGCCTTGTAACCAGAAGGTCCTGGGTTCGAACCCCGGTGGGTGCGTACTGCGAAGAGTCCGAAACTAGGACGAAACAGCTGTCCAGTACTCCCAGGTTTCCAATGGTTCTCTAACCGATGTCAGCTCATGATGAAATCCTGTAACCAATCAATCAAATCCCTACAAACCAATACTTGAAAATCTAACCATAATTTGATAGCAGAAATATTACAGATCAAAAACACAATGCAGACATATTATTACACACATTTGTATAATACGTCTTTTTCAAACTATCAAAAAGACAGGGAGAAATCAAGAATGAAAAGTTAAGGAATAAGTTCATGAATTTAGATACTGAATAAGCATTACAAGTGAAGCTGTTTACTTAGTTGCCAGTGTGGATAAAAATAATCTATGTCACCAATAACACAAAATAAATAACATAAACTTTTAGCATAAACTATCAAGAAGACATAATCATCATTGCCTTCTCCACTACTATCACCATTATCATTACTATGTGTAGATTGAACATGTTGTAGAATGTCAGCTCGACATTGCGGATAACGTTTTAAAATACAAGAAAGTCTACAATCGAATACACGTTGACTGCATGAACACGATTTCAGCTGACTTGTAGTAGATGCATCCTCCTCTGAAATCAGTGATGCACATGACGACTTATTATTAGTGGATAATTTCACCGTTGGTGTATTCTTAAAAGTGCACAAACAACACTTTCCACTCGGTATAGCGCTTTTAATACCAATTACATCAGTTATTTTAAACAAATAACCATAAAATAAAGATTTTGCTTGATTGCTAGACAGAGATGATTGTGTTGTGACTAGTGCAGATGGCAGACAGTCAAGTGAATGACGCAACGGAAACCTTTTGAATACAGGAGAAACTGATAATGGCGTTGGTGACTGGAGAGTTGCAAGCAATTTTGAACAGTAGAATGAAGACGTAAGATCACGATTAAAACACTTAATTAAACCTTTAGACGATGATGGCGGTAAATGATGTGTGAAGAAAAGTGACGGTTCACTACAACTGTGCATAGATGAAAGATTTGAAGTGCTAGACACTCTGTGAAGTAATCTACCGCGTTGCATACTACAGTGACTGCTACTGACATCATCATCATCATCATTATGATGATCACGAATAATCATTTGTTCTGAGTTCTTATTCACAAACTCATAATATCCAACCGAACGACTAGACGCATTATAATAGGATGACTGACTCGATTCGTGGGATAACTGATGATCAATTTGCGAAAAACTATTATTTGACAGTTCGATATCATACGTCATAGAATTAACATGATAATGAGGTGATTGACGATTCACAGTAGACAAACAACTATTGTCAAAGTTATCAATTTTGTCATTTTGCCATTTTACAGCACTCTCCGATTCAGAGTAGTCACTCAATAACTCGTCATCATTATCACTGCATAAAGTACGTGAAATGAGATTTATGTCAGTTGGCGGGGAAATTAAAGTTGATGTTGTCCTTGTCGATAAACATGGTAAAAATGATGATACTGACAACTTATTCACACAATCATGTGGATATATAACTATATTCACAACATTATGACAAATACAAAGATGTTTTTGTTGTGACATGTTAACTTCTCCAGGATAATTTTTACACATTGAAATGGATGGATCGGGTGGATGGTTATTCGATGTCTTAAGGGACAATGATGATTCATCTAGCATTCTTACAGCTACTAAATTATCACCACCTTGGGGTAAGTAAGGTGATAAAGATTTATCAACATCTTGAACATTTCCTGGAGAACCATACGACAAAGAATCGTCACGCAAATATTCATTAGATTGCTTGATTGACTTCGAGCAATCGATCAGTTCATTCGGTATACATGATGGAGTACAAATAAAATTGTTAAATTCTATCCTGCTAAAAGACATAGTTGAATAACAGTTACTTGTATTATTATCATCCCTGTTATCACTAACTTCATGATTCACACTAACTTCGTTGTTATTATCACTTTTACTATTGTATTTATCATCTATATAATCTTTACCACATCGCTCTAGTTCATTCAATGGTGCGTGTTGATAATTTGGTGGAAACGATGTAGAAAAGCTCAAACGTGTGGGATTGCAGTAAATGTCATCCCTCATAAAATGCTCTTGAATTACTTTATGTATTATAAAATCTTTATTTGACAAATGCGAGTTAAGCTCTTCAAGATTTAAACTTTGTACACATAAATCATCCATTGTCCCTGAATAACTTCCACCGTAGCGTTCATCTTTTGAGTGTAAACATGAACTTGGGAGACTCTGATCAAGCATAAATGACGAATTTTTAAACACAGCATGTTCCTGAGGTACAGTTCTTCTATTAGATAATAAGAATTCTGGGGGGTATTGCTTGAAATAAGTATCCAGACGGCGTTCAAGCAATTTTTTATTTGATATCTTTTCATCAAAAGGACGAAATGGTGATAGATAGGAAATTACATTCGTTTCACGCAGTAAATTGCGTGTACGTATTGACTGTGATACACATTCAATAGGATTCGCACAATGATGAGATGGAATATCAAGTCGATGATGACAATTATTTATCCATGATTTTGATGATGGTGGCGATGAAGATGGTATTACAAATAAACTACACTCTTCTGTTAGACTGTCTTCTTCTTCTTCTTCCTGTTCTTCCGCTTCATCTTCATCCAGGACATCATATTCATCATTATGAAAATAATGGGTTGACTCTGAGGCTGTAACAGAAAAGCTGTCTTGATACACTGAATTCCTGTCAAGGCGGCTATCTACACTTCTATTTCCTTCTCCTCTACTGTCAAAGGACTTGCATGATTTTAAGTTATTATAAGGACAGTTGACCTTAAATAATTTCATGAATTTAAGGTTAAATAAACCTGGCATTTGCCTGAAACAATTTTAACTCATATATTAAAGGGATAGTCTTTCAAAAGATAGCCGAGATCAATAATGAACTGATCACATGACAAAACATAATTTGTTTATTCAAGGACTTCTAAGTACAGTATACATACATATATATGGCGTGTGCTACTGATAAGATTTATTAGTAGTAGTATATAAAGAGGCGTTCATCAGCATAAAAATGCAAATAGCACACAGATTGATTTGAAAAGTGAACCAGTGTTGCAGCAAAACATGGAAGACACGAAAAGAAGACAAAGAAACACAATAAGAAGGGCAGAAGTAGCACAACACGGAAGGTCTGTGAGGATGATGATTTGGAGATAAGGTGTGCATAATTTTGCTTTATAGAGATACCAAATTCAGAATAGATATTCCTTTACCAAGTCTCATGCCTTCTACCGTTACATATATATCACACAAACTATCAAAATATATGACCACAGGATAATGCATAACTATGGTAAATGACTCTTAGTAAACAACAAGCGTTATGTGTTGTGCATGCCAAGTCAAAAAGTTTAGTTCCTCGTCTTATGTCAAAGAAAATATGGTTGGGCTGGAATAAAATGGGCGGGGGGTGGTCAGAAATATACCTGACCGAATCATGGAAACATACGGAAAGTATGTGTAAACGTCGGTTAATAGATAGGAGCTTCCGTGATAGCCGGGCGACTACGTATAATGGCCCTATTGTATTACAGTCATACTTCTTAAGTTTCTTTATCTTTTCCACTCCTCTTTTGCAACATTATTTATAACTAGTAGTCTCCCTTTTTATTGCTTTTTGATTGATGTGTAAAAGTGAGGTGTGGTGACTTGAAACACTACATAGTAGGCAAATTCTTATCTTGAAAATGGATAAATGACTAAATTCGACAGACAGATACACCCAATTTTAAAAGTCACTAGTCACATTAGAGATAAAGTTGAAGTTTTGAAATTAAAGAAAGTAGATAGGAATAAGGTCCGTTGCTCATGTTATTTTCTATATAAAAAGTTAAATGCTAACGAGCCAAGAAACAATAACAGTAAGGGAAAACAAAAGACCATTAGGATTTCAGGAGGAAACACGGTGATATACATATGTACCACAACGACTTCAATTCATTCATTCACTCTTTAATACTAACAATTAAATTAAATTTCTATTGAAACGCTTCGGTGGTTCATCGGTAGAATGCACACCAACCACTCATGTGGTTTGGGATCCAATCCCGTGCCGCCGCACTCCTAAGCCTCGCTGCTAAGCCGGTAAAGAGAGAAGGTTGAGCGTGAGACTAGCAACCCTACTCCAAAAAATAAAAATACTGCTACTGAAACTTCAAAACTCTAGCTTGAAACCCTATGTTCCACTCGGGACGTAAAGGAATAAAATAAAAATATATAAATTTTATTGAAACTAATACATGAAACGCTCAAAAAGTAACACATTTGCCTAAAAGAACCAGCGCACCTGTATCAAATGACCAGATAATTGAAGTCAACCGTTGTAAAAAGATTATCATGTACAAACAAATACAAGCCTAAATGAGAACATGAGACAAAGTAAGCTATGATAACAGATAAACACATACGTACCTGTTTAATTACATCAGGTTCTTCTAATTGACAGTCGATAACCACGTGAGTAACACGTGTTGGATCATACGCTAAAACTACTTCTGCACCGTGTAAACGCATAACACGCCTCCAGACAACTTTCTGTGATTCAGGCACACTTCGATAACCCAAAATTAACATAACACAACCAATTAAGCATTCTTCAGGACGAGAAGGCAACGGATTACCATCATGGCCATGATAAGCTGGAGTTAATTGCATAGGTGTCATTAGTGTTGGTGTATTTTGTGTATGTCCAGACGTTGAATTGCACGTAATCTGTCGATTAACAGATTGTACAACTGTAGTAACAGGTATTTGATTAGGACGTGGTGGTGTTTGGACATTTGCGCTACCAGTGGCAGCAGTTGAAGAATGACTATGTGATGGCATGGGTACAACTTGTGGATGTGTAGGACGTGGACTAATCGAGTGATCAAAACCATTACCATGTACTAGATTAGGAGTTGCTACATGATGATATGGTGAATGTATTGTATTCGTTTGATGATGTTGATTTGGAGCATTAATCACACTAACAGAAGATGAATCACCAATAATAACCTGAGTATTTGGCCTACCAGCTGACTGAGCATATACCATCTGATGATTGGGTTTCGACTGTTGTCCTGTGATAATTCCACCTAAAATAGGAGAGGAAAAGGATGCATGAATTACTAACTGTTAGAATAAATGTAATTATCACTTATCTTAAGAGGAGATTAATATTTACCGATAATTAAAGATTAATGAAATTATATGGCAAAAATTTTGAATAAAAGAACATTTTCATACCAATGTTCACGACTGCTTATCAGTTTTTTTTAGGTGCATACTGATTTCCGATACCGTCAGTTTAGAAGAAGTGAGATTTCGATTCTTAATACTTGACGAATTTTATTCAAGAAGATGATGGTCATGGTGAAAATCATACACTAACAATGAAATCAGAAACAATGAAATCCCTCTCTGCCTAAATGATGGCATAGGTAGATGAAGGGGTGAAATTGCTGCAAACAACACTACTCAATTTAGACACCTTACCTAAGGTATGTAGGAGACTATGAAGTCTGCACGACACAAAAACAACTTATAACACTAATTCGACCTTCAGAGCCGGCTTTCAACTTGGAACCGACTGTATAAAAACTAAGTACATTATCCAACTCAGTGGAAATTAAAAAATCCTTACATAGCTACTGTCCTCCGATCCGTCAATAGATAGATTAACTTTACAACATGAACAACACGTGTAGTGGAAGGGCCGTGAAGTCGAAAGGAGTGGTAATAAGAAACAAGATTACTACTGCCTTGAATACAACTAAACCAAACATAATTGCCATTTCATTTAACTTTTATAGAATGCTTACCTATATACCTCGACAAAGAGGGAAACACATACCTGAATGAACTTGCTGAGGATAAGTAGGAATTGGCTGCTGATGTTGTTGATGTATTGCTTGTTGTTGTAATCCATGTATAGAAATATTATTGTTATTCGATTGAGGTGTAGGACTAGTTTGAAAAAGAACTTTATTAGTCTGTGGTCGATTAGTCATTTGAGGCACAGGACGCTGATTTGTACTCACAGTTACTAAAGATGACTGATTTTGATGGAAACCATTCCCAGGTGTGTTAGCATTACCAGAACATGGTAAAACAGAACGCAGAAGCATGCCACCACTTGGTGTTGGATTATTTGAATTTCTTCCAAACTGTAAAACACAATTATAACATTAAATAACAAAGATTTTTTTTTAAATAACCGACGCTGATTTTTAGATTTCACTACATAAATTAAAGTGATATAAATATACGATAGCTGTTTCGTACGTCTCATACCGGAGTCATCCATATACCAAGTAATCCACAAACTGCATACAGAAATGTTTTCAAATCACAGTATAAATAACAACTATTGTCTGAAAGTTAGTGAAAGAGGACTCCCATTTACTAATAACCTTGGAAAACCCTAACAAATACAAATTTTCAATCCTTAAAATATTATGAAGCGTTTCAAAATCAGTAAGTAGTTTGGGATTTTCTTATTCACCTTATAGTTTCTGAGTTAAAAGTTGGTATGATATAAGTGCATGTGAATACCCATAATTACGGAAGACTACTGTCTTTAAGAAACCTGACAAATATTGAAATACTCGCACAATTGTGTTAGTCGCTTTATGACCTGACACACACACACAAGGACAGATAGATCAACGTAGAACTGTGCATAGAGGTGCATCATTTCAAGTTATCGCATATCGAAAAAGAAGCGAACACAAATGTAACGATGTTATAGTGGGAAATCGCATGCAAAAAATCAGTTAGTGTAGAGTGGTAAATATGATGGAAATTCCAATGGTGATAAACAGTAATAATAATAACCACAACCACGCAACGCATACCATCCTATACAACTGGAAAAAGAAGTTGGAAGATGTCTACTACTGTTGATTTACATCCATAAATAGCAGAAAAAGAACTACCGCGTAGTACCTACTTTCTATGATGGTACGAGTTGGTAAACTCATAACCATCCTATTTCACCAATATTGAATTTGTCCTAACAACCGATCTACAAAGGCTGATGCAGCCTACCGAAATGCCTAACTGATCAACACGCTGCACTTCTTATCCATATACGAGAAGTCGGTACAGATATGCTGTGTAATGACATGATACATACCACTGACACAGTGCATGCTGGAAATAATCAGATATGTATATGGTCATGGTGTTTAGAAGACTCGATATTTTGTCTAACTTTATTTAACAGAACCATTTCACCTGTGTAGTCTAAGTAACCTAGCATTTTCTCAGCGAATAAGTCGATTCCTGAAAGGTTGAAACTAAATACAGTCATCTCCATTAACACTCATACAACAAATAAAGATGCATCCATAAGAGACACAATTGATTTTCAGCTTTACATGGCTATAATGCAGTTTATAACATAATTTCTCAGTAGTGTCTTCATAGACAAACAATAATACAACACTCCTAGATCAACAGAGTCCAATATCATCTTCAGATCAAGGCAGTATGTTAACTGTTGAATACAGGCAACGCGTTTTCTACAACCTGTCGAAGGTTTAGGCTTTAATCAATGCATCTTCAAGCAAAGCCTGAAATTTGCTTGGTTTTCTAAGAATTGATTTTGCCAAATTTCATTTAGTCTTTTTATACTTATGATCCCTGGCAATTTAGGTATGATAATAATCACACTGATGAACCTTTCATCACGAAGGGGAAAAACTACTCGTCTCATATAAACCGGTATGGTCAATTAACCATATTAGTCTGATACAACTATCTCCGATTCACAAACACTAACTAATACCATACGTACTCTAACTTACATTTATTTAATACTATTGTTATATACATTTTGAATCAAAAAGTCAAATACAACTACTTAACTTATTTTCCGATTGCAGACAGGCTTTTGCAGTTTTGATCGGTGTTGGAAGATTGATCTCTACATCTTATTCAGAATAGGATTGTATGGTAGACAAATTTATGGTGCTGTTGTAGTTCAGTTAAGCTGTTCCTCCATGTTTTTTTGCCCAAAATTTCAGTGATTTGTCCTAAAACATTATTAAAGCTCCAACCATCTTGGAAATTGTTTCACTTAACGGTTTTTTAACATGCCTCCTTAATTAATAATGATCAAATAGTTGATGAGTATCACTCGCTGACGCTTGACCACTTCTTTCAATTCTGTCACCCACCAGTGACCATTACTGTAATAAAGCCTCAGTCAATTCACATTCAATTCACTTTCAGTTCTGCTTTAACAAGGACATGTTTATCCGTGCTCATTTTTGTTTCAGAGGTAGATTTTCTTGTAAACTAAGTAATTTTTAAGTGTCGGTTTGCGGGGATTCGATAATATATAAGTTAGAAAGCAACTGGAATGCCAGGGAGTACTGGACAGCTATTTCGTTTTAGTTTGGGGCTCTTCATCAACGGGCACCTAAATAATTATCAATATATAGTATATTAAGTAAGCTTTTCTTCTTTTCTTGAATTTGGTTCAGGAAATCGACAGTTGCAGCTAGTGTAGCACAACAAACACACATAGGTATTATGAACCATATCGATTGTATGCAACTAAATGGCGCAATTTGCCTTCCCTAAACATAGGTGGAGTGTGATCAGGATCTATTTCCTTCAAACAGACAATCCCCACTTTAGATGTATAAACCATAGCTAAATGGTGGTTTGAAAAGAGTTAAATACCGTGTAGTATATACAGAATAAAGCGTCGATAGTTTAATGGTAGAATAGTCACTAACCACATACGTCGTTCGGGTTGAATTTCCCGCCAACACCCTCCTAAACCTCAGCTGACTTACCAGTCGATAGTAACCCTGGAAAAATAGGGAGGGTGGTCATGAGGCTAGCGAACCCATCCCCTAAAAACAACACCATTACTAACACTTCAAATATCAAAACTCAAAGCCCCATGTCCCACCGGGAACGCAAAGGAATGAAGAAAAAATACAGGATAAAATGAAAATAGATATGATTGAGAGTGTAACCAATAACATTTGTACCTGAAAACCATAGTTGTCACGTTCGAAAAGTGTTCGGCAGCTATCAGTTATAATCAGCTACATAAGTGGTTGGATACTTTACGTAAGGCATCCATCAACGTTAAGAATTATGCCCTAACATTTAGACTCCAAAATAAAAAAAACGATGGTTTTAACGCTGACACTTCATAATATAGAACTAAAACCTAAAGAGTTATTTTAAAACAAGACAACTTACTGCATTTGGCATTGATTGATGTTGTGCAGCGATTATCTGTTGTCCAGTTGGTGATTGAAATATAATTTGTTGAGGATGTTGATTTTGATGTGGTTGTTGTTGTTGCTGTGATTGTTGTGGTTGAGGTGTATAACAACCATGAATTGCTTGATATTGTGCGGGGACAGTTGCAGTAGCAGGTGAAAGTTGAACTTTTTGCTGTTGTGGTTGTTGTTGTTGTTGGTAGTGTTGTGCAGGATGTGTAGCCAATGAAGCAGAATACTGGTGTTGGACTTGTGGCTGTTGATGTTGAGGTTGTTGTTGTTGTACATACTGACGATTATTCACTGACGGACGGGTAGGTGATGATTGTGTTTGAATTTGTTGTTGTAATTGTGACATTTTACCACCTACCATGGAAGAATGTTGAGATATTAAATTAGTTGGTGACGATTTAATCTGATTTCCACTGGTATTGCCACCACCACCTCCAGGTGTACCAGTATTGAGGGAACTAGTATTATTACTCGGTGAATGCAGTGCAATATGAAGTTGAACTGACTGTTGCTGATGATGATGTGGTGTCGACGTAGGCGTAGTTGTTATACTACAGTTTGACTGACTAATCATCTGTTGTTGATGAGGTGTACGATTATCAATTATCATTGGTGGTGTTGACTGTGAATTATTAATAGATGAACTGGCAACTGATGCAACCATATGATGTTGCTGCTGCTGCTGTTGGTGTTGTTGCTGTTGTTGATGGTGATGATGATTTGTTTCAGATAATAAAGTTTGTTGAATTGGAGAAGCATAAGATGTCGACTTAATCTGAATTAGTTGACTACCATTACCGACACCAATAGTAGCACCGCCACCAACACCACTACCATTTCCACCAGTAGACTGTAACAACAACTGTTGCGTTATTGGTTGTGAATTAACAGTCTGTTTATTGTGTGAATGTGTTTGTTCAATAGCTGAATTATGTCCTGATTGATGATGATTAGACTGATATAAGTGATTTGATGATGACTGGATTATATTACTAGCTGATATTTGATGAGGATTATGATTATGATGTTGGTGTGGATTATGATTACTTGTTAGTAGAATATCTCCACTACCATCTGAACTAATTATAGTAGCCATGTCAGGTTGTGCTTCTATATTGTCGTTCTGTGGAAGAAAAACAAAACACACGATGAATATGACAAAATTGAGATACTTTCCCTGCTTGTTAGTAATAAGATAAAGAATATAACTCAATTGGCCGAGTACATATTTTTCACGTGATAGACTATAATGAAAACGCCAGGTTGGCCAGAAAAGTAATATGCAGAGTTGGTTTTAAAAGTAAACTTCCACAACGGCATTTATCACGCAACATAATATGTTGGTAAATGTACTCAAAGTAACAAAAAATAACTGTCTTAGATAGATAAATATCATTTATGATGTTACTCTACTGGCCTTTTACTAAACTTCAATCCAAAGAGTTACGCAGTGATCTCACGAGCCAACTATCTACTTTAAGCTAATCCTTCTAATACTTCTAAGCTAATCCTGGACACTTCAAACTGCGTATATCAATTTGAGTGTGTTTGTGGAAGTAAATACATAGGTCGTACGGAAAGGCGATTGTCTACTCGCATGATGGAGCATTTGCCAAAATGGTTGAAAACAGCTGAGTGCAAAGTGCCAAAATCCTCAATAACAAAGCATCTTGTGGATTACGGATATGATATCGACGCGGTCAAGTCATTCACTATTGTCAGCAGACAAAGAAACAAGAAGATGCTTGCAATTGCAGAGGCTTGTGCAATTCCAGTTTACAAACCAGGTCTCTTTGTACAAAAGGAGATGGTCGTGATTCTGAATCTACTATGGTAACACGTTTTACTTATAAATTCTACCTCTTATTATCATTATTCTCACTATTATTATTCTTGATTCATTTAAAACTATCCTTTATCAGTATCACTCTGTCTGCAATTCTTGTTATATTCTCCAATGTCTAATTGTTTATCTAAGTGATGTAATTGAAGCGTAATGCAATTTATCTTAATTTTGATCTCTCATACTCTCTCTCCCCTTATCTATTTGAACATGACCTGGAAAAACATTCGCACCTGTCTTTCTTCATGACTAATTCAATGTAGTTTGTTTACTTATCAGTCTTATATCTCCCAATGTAATTTCAAAAGTATATATATCCGTGTATGTAGAGTATTCAGCTGACGAGTTCTACGGAAATTTGATGAATTCATTAAATCCTGCTTTATTAACCTTTATTGCTTGTTTTAAGCTAAACAACTGGATAGTTTCACGCAACACAAATATGTATCAGGCTCTTAAAGTGTTACATTATTCTTTTCACATTCCAGTCTAGCCTATTTTTTCTTTACGTGTTGTTTTTAAGCTTGGTAAGTTTAATCCTATTGTAAGAATCTTCGGAGGAGCAAGTTCTTGATAAACCAAGGTTGATCGCACATGGGACAGTAGACGATGGGACAAGTCTGTCATCTTTTTTATATACCCAGTTGGATTAACTGTGCACACATGTTCAGAAAGCGCATACAGCATACAGCTGAAAAACTTTTAGCCTAGTATACCAACTCTTACTTTTCGACTGTAATAACTTTTAAACAAGTGAAATAGGCGGTTACTATTGAAAAAAGCCTGAATTAAAACATGTAACAACTACAGATAGTAATTAACGATAAAAAAAATATGCAGCATGTTAGTATAATAAAACGATACCTCGAAAACTTAACTGATCAATTCAATAGTCAATGTTAAAGATTTAAATCGAACGAAGTTAACTAAATAGGCAGATTTACACAGAACAGGTAAATGTGACAGTGAAGATAGTAACAAGTAGCTTTTGTGGAGCAGACGAGAATATGACAGATACTTCAAGCCCTGAATCTTCTACTACGAACAATCTCAGTTCACTTTTTTTTCTGAAGTTGTGACCGAATTAAAACTGCTTCGATGACAAAACAAAATTTCTTTTAAAGTAAGCAAAATATTTACTTTGTGACATACTACCTATGTTTTACTGCAAATAGTAATTATTTCCAGCTTTGTCATAGAGTGATATTAGTAAAGGACCATTGAGAATCAGGGAGTACTGGACATCTGTTTCGTCCCAGTTTTGGACTCTTCATCAGTGCGCACTCATGACGGGTATTGAACTCAAGACCTTCAGGTTACGACGTGAACTCGTTGACCATTCAGCCACTGGAGCAAAACCCAGTGGCCTATGAATTCCAACCGCTGAAGAGTCCCAAATTAGGACGAAACAGATAAGCAGTACTCTCTAGTTTTTAGTGATTCTCTAACTGATATCAATCTATGAAACCAATCAATACCTTACAAACTAACACTTTAAAATCATATTTAATTCCTATATACATAATAAATTGAGACTCACTTGTTGGTATGGTTGACGAGTAGTACGTACAAATAAAGTTGGCTGTTGAACTTGTGCAGCATGCTGAAAATGTTGAACACTGGCTTGGTGTTGTTGTGATGACTGCTGATGCTGTTGCTGTCCCAAAGTTGAAGTGTTGACAGCAGTCAGTATACCACTAGCTCGTTGATACGGATCTAGGAAGGAAAGAAAACAATTAAATGAGCTGATTATTCTTAGATGAGCAACTCGAAATCGCCTCAGATTTTTTTCTCATTGTGTTTAACTGTCTTGAATACAAATAAGGATAAAAGCAACTCAGTAGGGAATTATCATATCACTCAATCTTTTCTAAGTCCCGTTACTTGTCAAACGTATCATCATAATTCACTGGGTTTACATAATAGATTTATACATTCGTACTGTTCATTAATGCGACATGTGATAGTACTAAAATAGAAATCACGCATAAAAAAGAAGGCAATCAACAGTGAGTGGGACCAGAGTTGCGTAACTTTACTAGTCAGGCTAGAAGTAGAACCTAAGCAAAAACTCCCACCATAGCTACAATGACTGGTGACTTTTGAGTAAAACAATTATATAGCGGTAAAATAATGCAGAAAGTAATTACAAAAAAATGTGATTAAGAGCATGTACACTGAGTGTACAGCAGTTAGCGAACAGCATTTTCAGAGTTTATGGTTCATTTAATCAAATCTGCTCAACTAAAGTAAACAAAACTTTGAGACACATAGGCTTAGATTCTGTAGGAAAAAACCTTAGACTTCTTTACTTCAGAGCAAAAAATGGAATTTCATCATTAGAATTTGACTACAATAAATATTATTACCTAAAATATATACTTCGAGATACTGTTAAGACAAAAGTATATCATATGTATGAGATCAATAAATCAACATTTATATTGTTCACCTACTTTGAACAGGAAAAGACTGTGTATGCAATTGCCCATGTGTAGATTGTTGAGATACACTTGCAACAAGTTGACCACATGGATGTCTTTGCACAATATACGCTGGTGTTCCCGGTGCTGATTGTGGTTGATGAGATGCAAGTGTAGCTGTAGTTAAGTAATGCTGCATGCTAGTTGATCTTTGAAGTTGTGTTGGCGTGCCTTGAAGGGAGTTATTACTAGCCGGTCGATACTGCATTTGTTGAAGACTACCAGTTAATAAGACAGAAGGAAGTGCTGACCCAGCACAACCCGCCATTACTATAGACGGTTGTTGCTGTGGTTGTTGTTGTTGCTGTTGTTGAATATGCTGTTGATGAGGTGCTGGTAAAGTTTTAGTAATTCCAGTAACTTTAGCATTTTTCGGCGATTTCGGAGATACCTTATGACCCATAGTACTTCCTACTGCACGACAAGGAGATTTTGGTGATTTAGGCTTACGATGATTACCAGAGGTTTGAGAAGAACCAAGATTGGATGAACTCCCACCATATCCAGAAGTGATAAGATTTCCTAAACTAGAAGAATTACCTCCTTGTAGACCAGAAAATGAATTTGGTCCATTTTGACCATGTCCAGAATTGTTAGTAGAAGAATGATTGTCAGAAGAGGAATTTGTTGAAGAAGATCCCCGACCATGAGAAGATTCCTATCATAATATAAAGAAGTGTGTTATTAAAAGTATGAGTTTTTAATAAAAAAAATTCTAATAAATAAAAGAAACAAGAAGCCACTTTATATACGACTACAATTCAAGGGCGATATACCAAGTGAGATAATTACGAGGAAATTAAGAAAATCAATTCAAAGAACTTTTAGTGCTGGCGAACTACACGTATTTTTCTCTACACGACCGATGGTGCTCTCTCGACTGAAAGGTGAAGACTAGCCACTTCAAATTGTATCTACTAATTCAACTCCGCTAGTGGTGGAGCGAGTTATATTGGCCGTTGCTCTACGAACTTGGTTTTTTGTGCTCGAGAACATCTCCCACTATGGCTAAGTAAAGGTGTAGTTTAAACCATTAACAGTTCTATATTGGACCATCTGGTACAAACCGGTGACAAAACCAGTGTAGAAGAATCCTTCTCTTTAATCTACCGGGTGCCTAATAAATTGCCAAAAACATCGAAGCACCGCATGCTCCAAACAGCAGAGGTTATTGCAATTCACCTCAAACAACCAGTGCTCTGTGTTCAAAAGAAGCAAGTCCGTCCCCTACTACTGCCCTGACCAGCCTTCAGTAGAGACTATAAATTCATGAATTTGTAATATTATCTTTCCTAATTTTTCTGATATTCAGCTTATTTTATGTTGATGCTATTGAGCTGTAATCCATTAATATTATTATTGATTCGATGTTATTTAAACAACATTAATGTTGTTCATAACACTAATTCATTCATTCACTATAATGTATATATAACTGTAGAGCCTGATGATGAAGTTATCGAAAAGAGTACTCTTTGTTCAGTATCCATTCTTTTGAAAAAAAGAAAGACATTAGAAATAAACAAACGATTGAGTTCAAGGCTGTTGTGATCCCTTTTATCTGCTAACATTTAAGAGAGAGAAACGATGAAGTTGATGAGTTATCTACACCATCCCTACGGCATTTATTGTTGTCTGCAATTTAGCAATCTACTGTTATTGCGCTAGAATTTAGGCATATCCAAATAAAAGAAGACACGTATCGTGAATTTCAACACCGTCAATAGACAGAAAAATAACAGCAATTTCTGAGCTAAAAAATATACCATTCACGTGTACTATTCTAAGTTAATTACTTATGTTCTTAATCCACTAGAGATTGACTGCAATCTGAAGTACCTATTAGTATTCGCTGATTGGAGTATTGGGGAACACACTCCTAAGTGTACATTACACATTTTGAAGTTCTGCATGCGCTTTTATTGAGAAGTGCTAACAAAGGTGAATGGTTTCCCTACAGATACTACTCAAATAAATAAGAAAAACGACTATTTGTCTTATTTTTAACGACTAGCTGAAATGGCAATAAATGTTTTATTATTAGCTTTATATTCTGAAAAATATAATGACCGATATGAAATACAATTTTACTACTGGGCCTATTTATTAGTAGTATGAAGTGACTACACATCAATAACAAATATTACAAATACAATTACACTTACTCGATTCCATGTATGCTGTAGGCTTAAAATGTTTTTTACATTTTGCATTACAATAGCATCTTTTTCTTCTTCATTTAAATTTTGTTCTTGCATATGTTTGCTAGACTTTGATTTACTAGTCTTTCCATGATGTCCAGTACTACTACTTGTACTATTACTGCTAATACTTATTAAATTGGTGGTTGATGCTGTTATCGATAAGGTTGTCATTGCACCACCGCTAATGGTACTATTTGCAGAAATTGGTAAATAATTATTACTTAGTATTACATTTGTATGGTTTCCTGGCACACTACATGCTGAATAATTGGATCCTCCTGATGAATTAGAATTTCCGATGACATCTGTAATACAGAAAAAAAAAGAACTATTGAATACAAATATACAAGAAGTAAACATGACCGCAGAAAGTTGTCATTTTTTAATGGGAATAAAAATGCCTTACCATACATAGTAAAACGTTTATAAAATGAAGGCAAATGTGGCTCATCGTCTTTAATATTTAATTATCGACTAGTAGATTCAAATGTTGCTCAGCTTAATAATTTATTCTGAGTGAGTGGATAGAATTATCAGCCTTCTATACATAAAATATATTTCTGTCTAGTAAACTTGAGCAGATCTTCATTTCAATACATAAAATTAAGGAGATATTGTATTAAAAACCTACATACAAGTAACGAGCTGTGGTTGATAAGAGTGAGTACTCAGCTTAAATTAACGAGTAAGACACTAAAAATTTGCTTCACCAACCACAGTTTAATTTGTTAAACAATGCTTCTGCTACATCCATTCCATTATGAGTGTGATTTATTGCAATAAGTATAAGTAAAAACACTATTTTTGATATCTACTGCGTTTCCTTTAATTGAATGGACTCTTTTACCTGATGTTGATCTTCTAAGCAGCAGGCTTTGTACTGCACTTATTTGTGAGGGTCGATCGTATTGACCGGTCGCCCAAATATTAATTAGGTGGAGCACAATTCAAATCAGGAACTTTTTTGGCCGAAAGTCGAAATCCTGGGGCCAATGAACCACATATATCGTTTACACATATTAAATAGGAAGCATCAATGAAGAACATCCCATCTCATAGTCTTTTGTCATCACTATTACCATTATTAGGCAACTCATTGTGTGTTCTGTACTCGTATGAGCCCCAACTAAGTGTGTGGATCAGGGTAATTACCAGTTCAATGAACCATATATATATTCCTTTGCGTTCCTAGTGGAACATAGGGCTTCTAGCTTTAGCTTTGGATTTCAGTATCAGTGGTGTGTTTTTTTACGGAGTGGGGTTGCTAGCCTCTCGCCCAACTTCCCCTTGTTGTCGGGCTTATAACCGGCTGAGAGCGGTGAAGGTGTGCGCCGGTCGGGACTCGAACCCCAGACCACATACATGGTCGGCCAGCACTCTAGCGCAGAACCACCGACGCACATCCGCATAATGGTACACTCATTGACTGGGTACTGGTTTTTGGGAGAACCGAACACGCCTATCCCTGCCAAATATATATATATATATGGAATCGTGTTAGCAATTACTTTTAGAAGACACAAGTGAACTAAATGACGGTTACTCATTACTCATGGACCACCAGATAGAGAAACAGGAAAATCTTTAAGTAAGTTACGCCAAATTGAAACCAAAATCATTTATGAAAGGCGTCAAATGAAAACATAATGAACCTTACTAAGAAAAGCACATTAATAACTATTGAGTACTCCATACAGCCAGAAAGTGGGTTTGATAGTTCTGGCTTCACAAAAATCACATTGATAAAGCCACTTATCTTGAACATGAATCGATCATAATAAAAGCTTATTCAGATAGCGATTAGAAGATAAGGAACACAATATTTGTGTTAATCTTAGTTCAGGCATCTTCGTAAGCATGTCTACGCATTCTAGGTTAAAATGTGGGCGTTTATCATTGGTGAACCTAAACAGAAATGCTTTCCGACTTTTACTGACACTGTAGTATGCCTCAAATACATCCGTAATAGTAAATGTTGGTTGAGAATGAAAGGAAAGTGGTAAATAAGCAAAATCATTATTTATCAACCTCGATATTTTTCAAAGTTATAGACTGTTAAAATAAAATTAATGAAAGCTTTCATTCCCCGTAAGACGAAAGCAGTTTACACATACCAGAGCCTGTAATTTGTTGCACCATTCCTTGTTGGACAGTAGGATCAGTGTAGATTGGTAAACCAGATGGAAAACGCTACAATGTAAACAGAAATTAGATGAGCATAAATCATACTGGGAAAAAAACACAAAACAGAAAGAAAAACGCTAACACACGCAAACTATATGACTCCTCAGTACACTACTGTTCAGCTACTAGTAAGAAGACAACACCGACGTCAAATCAAATTGGAAATATTGACTGGAGTATAACTGAAAGCTTTTTTTCCCAATGAACACCACTTCAGAAACACTTCAGTTAAGAAAGACAAAAATGAGAACTGAGAAAAAGTGGATACTAAGTAGTTATGATCAATACTGTAAGTACATTTAGGAACTTAGTTTCATAAAAGCAGCAAGATAAGTAAATGAAGTCAAAGTTCTGTATGTTGCTAAAACCATGCAATACATAAATACATAGGACAATGAATTACGCTTATTTAGCATTACGACTATTATTAAATTTCGGTCAGTGGATCCGGATTCTAGCACCCAACCCAAGGATTAAAAGTCAAGAGCATAAACCAAAGAAACACAGGTCCATGAAGGTTTAAATAAATGGATGTGATTTTACTAATTCTCATACGAGTTTTCCTAGCATATCTTGTGAAGTACCAATAAGCAACTATAACTACGAAAGAATTCTGCCGAAGTTTAAGTCGACACATCATTTTAAAACTAAGATAAAATTAGGAGCACGCTTCTTGGATATCAGTCAAACAGAAAGTTGTCAGCTACGACACCGACAAATCAACTGTAGATTACACCGTTTGCACACAAATATTATTTAAACGAGCGAAAACATGCTGCAGTACACTACTCCACGGAGTAAACAAACGAAAAATTAGTTAATTTCCATTTCTCATAGAATAAATACTCATATAAGCATATTGAAAGGTATTTAACAAATTCTTCATCAACTATAAAGCTATCCACATAAACCAACAGTGGGATCAAAAAGGACATGACCGAGATGACAATATTGAAAACCAAGGAATGAGAGATAGCAAAAGAAAAAAGCACATATCACTGCACAATCATGGATGCTAATTAAATTGATATAATGTGCGAATTTCTGACAGAGGAAACTAAGATTTTCGAAAGCTTGGCACTCAGGTAAGTCAGTAATCAGTACGTACTTTAACACTATCCAGTGTGTCAGACAATAAGAATGACAGGAAAAAATAATAAAGTCAGAACTCCAGCCAGTGAATATACACATATAAACAGTGAAGATGAGTGCAGAAACAACCAGTCACACGCAACATCAGAAGAACAAACAGCCAGACTATTTAGACAGAAAGTTATACAGTTCACTATCTTCTGAAATTAGTGAGAATGATACTGCGTCCAGCGGTTAAGAAGTCTGTACGATTAATATTTCCAAATCAAAGGACAAAATACAATCAAGGTTATCCTTATTTTAACAATGAAGAGTGTCTACATTTAACCTTTCTGTAGTAGCAAGTAAATAAAAAAGTACAATAAACATACGCTTTAATGAAGTCTAAAAAATAGAAAGCCTCTAGGTTTATATCTTATGAACAAATACACTTTTTAAATCATAACTGCCTTCAGGTGATCAATAACGACTGGATACAATTGATTAAGACGTTGAAAACATTGCTTGGGTGTTATAAGGACACGGAACTAGAATTTTTAAAGTTAAACGTAGTGTTCTAGATAAAGATGGTTAGACAAATGAGGAAATATATACTTGATATAACAAGATACGGTTAACTTGAAGACGTTAGATTGGCTGCATCAATAATGAGCTGAAAAGGAGGCTGAGAAAATCCAGAACAAGGTACAACTGTAATCCACCTAGTTATTAGATGCTGGACTAAGTGATGTACACTTTTTTTACGACTCCTCATATTGGCCTTTGATACGGTAGAAATAATCGGTTGAAGATCTTAGGACAGTCCCATGTGGCTATGATTTATAAGCATTTTCTTTTCAACTTACACCAAAGTTTGAATATGGTATTAGCTTATGCATATTTATTGCACCTCACTGCATATTACTTTCGTTAATCTTAATGTCGCTACCTTTTTGACTTTTTGTATAATGTTGTGAAGTATGCCTTGTTGAATGACAGCTTTTTGTAAAACATTCTACCTTAATCTACTCTCCTACAACTAAAAATAGGTGTGAGGGAATTATGTTAACTAAAGGTAAGCAACCAAACAGTGAGTAGAATTTTTTTTCTAAAGCATCCTAACACGTTACGAATAATGCTAACATTTTCATCTTACCTGATTAACACTACCCTGAGCACCACTCACTGGGAATCGCTGAGGTGCAGCTATATTTTGAGCAACTGGATTACGATTCGCTAAAGGCGACGATAATGAGAAACGTTGTTGTTGCTGCTGCTGCTGATTACCACCTCGAGATTGATCTTGGGCGGCTTTCTTAGATGAACCACGACCAGAACCACCACCACGTGAATGCCCTCCACGACCAGGCCTACCTGGTGTCACACCATCATATTTGGCCTTTTGCTCCACAGCTCTCATATTCTAATAAATATAAAGTATTTGGAAAAAAAATAAACTCCAAATGAGAAAATCTAATTGGGTATTTTCAACTTTTCACCTAAATCCCGAACACAATGAAGCGAAATACAAAACTACAAAAAAAATAGGAGAATAATCTAGGATATTTTAAATAACTGACTGGCAGAATTCACTGGTACACTGTCAGAATTAACAATGTGGCTTCAGTTACTACGATTAAAACAAGCTGCGTCGGTGGCACAGTGGTTAAGACTGTCGCCGACCATGCACATGGTCCGGGGTTCGATTCCCTGCCGATGCACACCTGATATCAATGGTCGGCCTGCTAAATTTGGGCTACCGATATCACATGCTGAAAATTCCATACTTGTACCAAAAGTACTGTGTGGAATCAAGCTATAATCAAAATAATAATAATAATAATAACCAATCGGTAATAAATAGACTGTTAATCAACTTTTTATTTCTCAAGTAACATAAGCATCATATAGATGAGGAAACAATTATAGTTACAGCAAGATAATCTAACAGATGCATCATAAAACTTATCAGGATTATTAATAAAAAGTGATAAAAACTAATAATAACTCACAATTTGCTGAACACTTAATCCAGTTGCCGCTTGCACATTTGTTCCACCTGATAATACTGATGACAGCTGTTGTGATGATGACTGTAGTGTATGCATAATTTGATTATTCTGAACCAGATTTTGTTTACTTGTGATTATTTGTGATGATTGTTGTTGTTGTACATTATTTGTGCAATTCAATATATTACTAATTGCAGTATTCGTGTTTGTGTTTATATTAGGATTAGTAGCTGAAGATGTTGACTCGACTGTACCGTAACTGTGGTGGTTATTGTTCATCATTAAATCACCACCAGATAGTGTAGAGTTGATAATTAAATTTGATTCTTGCTTTATTAAACTATTCAGTGAGATATCATTATTATTTTTATGCATATCAGATTCTTTAGGTTCATTCAATTGTTGCTGTTTTAAAGACATCTGTTTAGACGATGATGATGGTGATGGTAATTGTGATGGTGGTGGTGTTCTACGAACTAGTAAATTAGGATGATATGATTCACACGCCAGTAGACTATTCTGTGCTAAACAATCAACAATCCAATCAGGTGTGACTAGGACAGGCTTTGTGTTACTTTCACTATCCGTACTATCATTTGTCAACTTCGTAGTCACATAATCATAGAAGTTCTACACATGTTATTTTTTTTTTAATTGAGAGAAAAAGGAAAAAATAGAATAGAATTTGAATAGAGAAGACATTTATTAAGCAGTAAAAGACTGTAACCCATCAATGTTGTGCCTAATCAATTAGTATGATGCCAACCAAAACCCAACCTGGGTTTTAAGAAGACTAAGCCGAACACAGCCGTATACCACAAAGTGAATTACAAGTTATCCAGTCGAAATTTTCCAATAACCGAAAACTAGTAACTAAGCGTCGGTGGCATAGCGGTTAGGACGCTCGCCGACCATGCACATGGTCCGGGGTTCGATCCCCGGCCGATGCACTCCTTTACCTCGCTAAGCCAGAAATAATGCTGGTGAAGAGGAAAGGTTGGGCATGAGGCTAGCAACCCCATCCCGTAAAAGTAAACACCACTGCTACAGAAACTTCAAGCCTCTAGCTTGAAGCCCTATGTTCCACTGGGGAACGTGAAGGAAAAAAAAAGAAAACTAGTAACTGATAACCTAACATGAAACTGAGTACAGTGAAACCAACCCTTACTTAACTTGTAGTTTTGTAAAACCTCTTTATAATCACTATTTTCCATACCACGGTTTTTCAAATTCCTTATAGAGTCAAACTTTTCTGAATTAATTTCAGTCCAAGTAAAAGTAATGCTACCCAGTGACGAATCAGATGGTGATAAGTTAAACTTGTTTGGATTGGCCATACTCTGAGGAAACCATCAAGTGACATCACTAGACAAGCCCTCGAGTGGAACCCGAAAGGGAAGCGGCGAGTTGGTCGTCAGTGCAAAGGTGACTTGGAGGAGGTCATGTGAAGAGGAGATGAAAACGTGTGGGAGCCAGGTGAAGACTCTAGCAGAGAACCGAACGCAATGGAGACGCACGGCTGAAGCCCTATGTTCCTCTAGGAATTAAAGGAAACAATAATATAATAATAATGGCTCATTTTATCACACGGCTGTTTGAAACCCAACAAGTGAAGTAAGACATAAACCCGTAACCTATTAGGTGAAGGTAAAACAATCAAACAAAATCACACATGCTTCAAATGCTTTGATGTTCCTCCTTGTGTGGCGCATCTCTTACAGCCCATAATGTACCAAAGGTTTTTGTGATTTTCCCTCTCATTTTACTTTGTAAAGCTTTTCACTGAATATCTACCATCGAGAATCTTTGATACCTACGTGTAACCGATGGCTAAATATCATATCCAGCTAATATCTTTTTGAATAAAAATAAGTACAACCAAATACCTTTCATATTTCAATATAATAGAAATGATTGCCTAATAAAAACAAGTGATGTACAGATTAAAATGCAAAATTAAATTATTCTGGACTAGTTTAAAGATGACGCCTTTAACTGTAGCGTGTATTACAAATCGTTAGAAAAAACCAAAGCGAATTCTGAAATTTGGCAGTAGGCATAGATCCCGAACTTTTCAGTGAACTGACCACTATTTTACAAACAATAAATTACCGCTGATTCTTAAATGTGGATACCATTTCATCAGGTTATTAACTTGGCATTGCTACTAATTTGATTGTACGAACATCAAGAATTCTAGTTTTGTCTTCACTGAAACACTTATTAAGAATGAATACGCGTAATAGTAAGGGAAATAATGTTCTGTATACCATTCGAAAAAACATTTCTCACTACTGCAGTCAGAATTTATTGTCAAACACAATGTTAGTAAACGAAAAACAATCCCTCTTGAAAGTATAGTAGTTACTCTAGGTATCTTTTGAAGCAATGAACTGAAGAAATGTAAGTATTTTTTAATCTATTTAATTATTGTTTCATTGATGAAATAGGTAAAAATGAAAATGAGATGAATAAGCAACTTACCCCAGTTGCCTTGGCAACAACTACATGAGTTACAGAATTATCCAAATAATGACACATTTCGCCTCCATGTATAACTACATGGGCCCATATTGCAAGTCGATCGGCTGTACCCAACTAAAATAAATGAAAGTTACAGTATAACCAAGACAAGAAATTATGACGTACTCCACTACATGCAATTTTTGTCCCTTTGAATATCTGTTTAAAGTCTGGATGGAAAGGACGAAATCTATAATTTTCCATTTAGTAAAACAATTTACAGAATCTTACGGTAAAAACTTTTGAGCCTCAGCAGATAGTTTTACCCAACGACTCTAAATTAAACAATGAAAAATTAGAATACGATATTACAGTGACGACAGGGACAGCATAAAGTTCTTCTGCCTCCCCAACTTCTGCAAGGGACGGATCATCACTTATAGCGAAACGTATACTCTCTGACAAAAATGGATGACTAACTGCACCCGACGACTTCAAAAGATCTACCACCTAAAATTCAAGAGGAACAATAGGTGGTTATGAATGAGAATTTTAAAATAATTCTTCAACGAAAAAATATTTTCTGTGTAAAAATTGCAGTTACTAAGCAGTTGTGTTACACTTACCCCAATCGGTAGCTGCTACCTTGACGTGGTGGTCGGGCTTGCATATCACAATGACCCAACAAGCTACACTGGTTGGAAATTTTGTTCCTGCAGCTCCTACCATGCCAGGAAGGTTGTTAGGATAGCGATTAGACTAAAAGCAGTGACCGGCATAGTGTAAGAATTTTTCTTTTTACACTGTGTTGGGGGTCTGTGGGCGAAGTCCTACTGCTGGGGAACAGGGATGTAACAGCAGTAAGGTGTTTCCCTCAGATGACCAGCATGTCAGTTATGTTCTCTCCACTCTGGAGAGAAGCGGTTAGAGAAGGTCGGCCTCTACAATTGTATATCCCGACTTACCCTACGGCGCTCCGTAACCGGCGGTAAGTTTACTAGTACGAAACCAAACCAAGAAACCAGTTCATACAGGCCGTGTGTAACCGGCCTCAAGCGGTTGTTCCCTGGGCTCTGCGGTCACGCAACACTAACCTCTTTCTGTTTCACATACCCCAAGAATAAATCAACTTCCACGGTGTGGGAAGTCGGGAAGTAAAAACCGCCTACACACTTCGAAAAGCACACGAGGCCTACCTGAACATCATTCTCTTTTACCCACATCACCTCCCTCATCTTGACTTCACTCTGTGACCACAAACAACGATGAGAGTCATAGAAACACCCCCCGACAGCCTCTTAAAGCCACTTCGCCAACTTCATATAGGAGCTTTCAACATCAGGACCCTCTAACAAATTGGACAAGAGGCATCACTAGCATAACTCTGGCACCTCGAGCCATGGATGTATGTTTTGTTTCGGAGATACGCATACAAGACCTGGTCGCGGTCGGTCGGTTTTCGACATAGAACTTTGCACATATGTGCGTCAGTTCAAGTCGCCACACTCTCTCCATGTAGCACACAAAGCAAGAGAAGAAAGTAGGAGAGATGCATAATATAGACAGTAAACAGAGGTGTGAGACAAAGGAATAGTAATAACGGAGAACAAAACAGTTTAATTGGAAATCATGAGTCACAAGGAGTGGATGCATCTGCGCCACTGAGAACGATTTCGAGCCATGTCACCAATTGTCTCCAGCCTTCATTGGCGTTTACCGTCCCGAGGACCCCAACCAGGAAGTCTACACCTTCCTACGTGGCTTAGACTAACTGTTGTGGATTTCATTGACTGGTGCCATGTTTTCGTTTGACCGCCGCTAGCTCTTTTCCAGCCTGGCCCTATATCAGCTAACATTGCCCTTGCGAGGAAGGCGATCGATGACTAAGCATACGTAACACATGTCCTAACCATCTCAGTCAATGTAATTTCACAGTCTCGTCGACTGATTTCCCCACCTTACCTAGCACTCGACGCCTAACCTCAATATTGCTCACCTTATTATACCACTTCACGCGGGAGATAGAACGCAGACACCTATGATCGAAGACAACCAATCTTTTCATGTCTTCCGCTCTCAATGGCCAGGTATTACAGCCATAAAGGAGGACGGAGCGGACTGTTGAGCAGTACACACGCCCTTTGGTCGATAGTCGGATATCACGTCTACGCCAGAGACGGCGTAAACTGGCATATGCAAAACTAGCCCTCTGTATTCGTGCTGAGATTTCGTCGGAGATCGACCCGTTGCGG